GCAACCTCTGCCTCCCAGATCCAAATGATTCTCCTGCCTCAGCCTCCTAAGTAGCTAGGATTACAAGCATGTGCCACCATGCTCAGCTAATTTTTGTATTTTTAGTAGAGACAGGATTTCACCATGTTGGCCAGGCTGGTCTCGAACTCCTGACCTCAGGTGATTCGCCTCCCTAAGTGCTGGGATTACAGGCGTGAGCTACTGTTCCTGGTCAGTTATTTCTATTTCTATTTTCCCGTGTGTTTCAGTTTCATGCTTTGAGTGGCAAAAATATGTGCAACTACCAGCTGGTCTGTGACAGTGATGAAAACCTGCAGAATAAAGAATCTGTGGTCCAGTGTCTGCATATCTTGTCGTCCTTAAGGCTCATCATGCAGGTGGCTCTGCCACAGGAGCATCTTTGCTGGATTATCTTCAATGGTATATGCTGATGTATTTTATTTTCCATTGTGTCTTTCAGAAAGTTACTTCAATGCTAAGTTTGACAGTAGCTTGAGTACCTTGTGATTTAAAACATATGCATTTCATAATAGGATGATTGTATTTTTTTTCAACATTTGTATGACATGTTTGTCCTTTTAAATTGGGATGAATAATGCATGTCTTTGGGTTTTCACTGGGGAAAGGGTCAGAGACTGTGGGAATAATCACTGTTGGGTGTTCAAAAAGCAGAGCCACAGTTAACGAGTAAATATAGATGGGGAAAGGTCAAAGAACCAGTGCAGGTTAGATTGCTCCTAAGCGTCACCCATTTACTGGCCCTGTCCTCAAACAACTTGGCTTTGGGTTTCTACAAAGTGACATTCTCCTCCTACTTGATTTTGAGTGAGAAGCGCTGAGGAACACACACACACACACACACACACACACACACACACGTACATTATGTGTATGTCTGAAGAAATGAATCTCAGCTAAAAAATGTAATACTTGCTTTTCTCTATTTTAAAGTTGCAACTTACTGTATTGTCCTCTGGATAATATGTTTTTAAAAGGAAAATAATAATGACAGTGTGTTCGATGTGCATAAGCCAGGATCAAATAACTTCAAGGAAACATATTGGATTTTCCCTCATCCATGGCAACTGAAAGTATATTTTCTAGCCTTTTCCTTTCTCATCCACCCCCAAGTCATGTTTTGACATTTTGATTGAAATCAGACTTTACATTTGCTGCCAGAGATGAGGCCAACTTTGATGAGATTTTTTCAGTCCAGTGATTATTAAGCTTTTGTGTCTGATCATCCTCCAGAGATTCGATGTTACCTGCACCACCACTGCCATCTCTCACACATCTTGGCAGGGACAGAGAAGGAGCAGCAGTTCTGTGTTAGGCCCAGTGGTTGAGCTCTATGGTCAGCCCTTGTTTGAGTGGTGGAAATGAGCATGATTGCCTGTCTTTACGCCTTTAAAGATGACAACCCAAACATAGTCTTTATTTTTTATTTTTTTGTCTGAGACAGGGTCTTGCTTTCTCACCCAGAGTGGAGTGCAGTGTGGCACAATCACTGCAGTCTTGAGCCTTGAACTCCTGGTCTCAAGCCATTCTGCATCAGCCTTCCAAAGCACTGGAATTACATTTCTCTCAATAGTCTTTTTTTTTTTTTTTTTTTTTTTTTTTTTTTTGAGATGGAGTCTCATTGTGTTGCCCAGGCTGGAGTGCAGTGGCATGATCTTGGCTCAGCGCAACCTCCACCTCCTAGGTTCAAGCGATTCTCCTGCCTCAGCCTCCCGAGTAGCTGGGATGACAGGCACGCACCACCACACCTGGCTAATTTTTGTATTTTTAGTAGAGACGGTTTTTTACCATGGTAGCCAGGCTGGTCTTGAACTCCTGGCCTTAGGCAATCCGCCCACCTCCGCCTCCCGAAGTGCTGGAATTACAGGTGTGAGCCACCATGCCCGGCCTCTCTCAATAGTCTTAAAAAAAAAAAAAAAGATTATTTCTGTATCCTTGATACCCTTTTCTTGGTATGTGCTTTTTTCTTTTTCTCTTTTTTAATACACATGACATTGTGCTCTAGATTTTATTCTGTTTCCTATTTTTTTCCCTGCTGAGTATTGTGGTTTTAGAATCTAGCTAAGTTCCTGTATGTAAATCTAATTCATTAACTCAGCCTGCTGAATTATATTCCAGATATCCATACAGGCCTGGCGATGAGCACCTGGTTTGCCTGACCTCTCTAACTGCACAAATAATTCTGCAATGAATATCCTTACACATGTCCTTTTATAGACCTGTGCGAGAGTTTTCTGGGATCTGTGCCCAGGAGTGGAATTACTGGGTTCTGGGAGATACAGATACTTAGTTTCAGTAACTACTCTCCTTGTTTTAATTTATTCATCTAAAACTTACTGAATGCCTACCATATGCTAGGCATTGTTCTAGGTGCTAGGGACACAGGAGTGGACAATAGACAAAATCCATTCTCATGCTGACTTCCATTGCAGGGAGATGCTAAACAAATCAAAACTGAATTGTGTCAGATGGTGATGAGTGCTATGGAGAAAAGTCAAAGCCAGAAGGGGATAGAGAGAGCAGGGGCTGGGCTGCTGAGATGACTGGGGAACAAAGACCTGAAGGAGTTTGGATAGTGAAGTTTCTAGGTATTTGGTGGAAGGGCATTCCAACTGGGGGATCAACAAGTGCAAAGACCCTGAAGTTTTGACAATTTGGAATTTAAGTAGTCAAAACTATATTTGACTGAAAAGGTCAAATGTGCCTTGGTAACTTATCAAAATATGTTTGACCTTTTCAGTTAGACATTTACTGTATTTACTTTTAATTGACTGTTAAACACACACACACACCCCCTTGGTTTCTTCAAATATTTAACCAATCTTGGTTTTTAAATAAAAATTTAGGCTGGGCACGGTGGCTCACACCTGTAATCCTAGCACTTTGAGAGGCCAAGGCAGGCAGATCACCTGAGGTCAGGAGTTCAAGACCAGCCTGGATAACATGGTGAAACTGGGTCTCTACTAAAAATACAAAAATTAGCTGGATGTAGTGGTACATGCCTGTAATCCCGGTTACTCGGGAGGCTGAGGCAGGAGATTTGCTGGAACCTGGGAGGCGGAGGTTGCAGTGAGCCAAGATCATGCCACTGCACTCCAGCTTGGGTGACAGAGCAAGACTCCGTCTCAAAAAGGAACAAAGCCAAACAAACTTCCAGAAATACCCTGAAATCATAAAGATTCAGTCTGTGTTCCATCTGATACCATTTACTCTCCGAGTCTGGCTTTTGCAGCAGGAATTTGTGAGCCATGCCAAGATTTTGAACTGTCAAAGGACTCAGTTACAATTAGAACCTTTTAGGGCTGGAAAGGTTAAAGGCACCTTTTTGAAATACAGAAGGCCCTTGTCATTCTTGAGGGCAGTCTCCTGAGGCCTTCCTGAGTTCCCAGTTCCCCGTTACTGGCATGTTTATATAGGCTCCTGGCTTACATCCTCATCACATGTTTTGTGGACAGGCATGTGTTTCCTGTGCATATTTTTACCTGGTGACTATTTTTTTTTTTCCTACAAAGAAGCACTTATACAATTTTATTTTTAAAGATGAAGAGTAGAGGCCAGGAATGGTGGCTTATGCCTCTCATCCCAGCACTTTGGGAAGCCAGATCACTTGAGGTCAGGAGTTCGAGGCCAGCCTGGCCAACATGGCCAGATCCCATCTCTACTAAAAATACAAAAATTAGCTGAGCGTGGTGGCAAGTGCCTGTAATCCCAGCTACTCGAGAGCCTGAGGCACGGGAATCACTTGAACCCAAGAGGTGGAGCTTGCGGTAAGCCGAGATTGCACCACTGTACTCCAGCCTGGGTGACGGAGCGAGACTCTATCTCAAAAAAAAAAAAAAGAAATGAAACAGATAAAGAGTAGAGGTCAACAAAGCCTCATCGAGATAAGTCTGCTGAGCTCGAGTTGTTATTAGTCGAGTGGTTTCTTCCCCAGTGGATCTTCAGTGGAATGAATAACTGCAGGTGCTGGGGGTAGTCAGACAGATAATGACGAGTCCCTGAGCATTAAGGACCAATTGCATTCTCTATGAAATTTAGGGTACTATACATTTAAGTTTAAAGTTTGTTCAATTTAGGGGGTCACTGATTTGTGTAATTGTTGTTTATGATGCTTACAGTTGTGTTTTAATCAAGTGATAGATGTTTTGGTGCAGTTGCCATTTTCTCACAAACTTTTTATTTATTCATTTTTTTTGAGATGGAGATTTGCTCTGTCACCCAGGCTGGAGTGCGGTGGCGCGATCTTGGCTCACTGCAACCTCTGTCACCTGGGCTTAGGCGATTCTCCTGCCTCAGTCTCCTGAGTAGCTGGGATTACAGGTGCACACCATCATGCCTAGCTAATTTTGTATTTTTAGTAGAGATGGGTTTTCTCCACATTGGCCAGGCTGGTCTCGAATTCCTGACCTCAGGTGTTTTGTCCGCCTCGGCCTCCCAAAGTGCTGGGATTACAGGTGTGAGCCATCATGCCCGGCCATCAGAAGCTTTTAAAGTTTAAACCTGAACATAGAATTCATAACTGTTGAACTTTTATGGTTACAAATATTAGATACTTTATAGAAAATATTTAGACTCCTGTTATAATTACATGCCTTTTAAAAGCATGTTACCATCTTTTGGTTATGTTTATAGCTTGATAAACTGCTTGTATGCAGAGAGAAGTATGGTGATGTTCCCCACTCCTCTCTTCAACCCTCCCTCCAGCCTTCTATCCTCTTTTAATTAATGGCCTGACAAAAAAGCATACTTGAGTAACCTTACTTAGGTGTTGGAAATGCTGTTTTTCATTAGAATGCTTATAGGACACACCTTAATGATGGGAAAAATGTTATATGAGTCCAAGAGTGAATATAATGTGACCTGTTATGCATTGCAATTTTTAAATTATTATGAGTTTCCTTGTTGAGTATTTTGCCATGCTGATTAAATATGTATTCTGATCTTATTTGGAGATAAAGCTTTAGTTTCTCAACCATAAGGAAACCATGGGAACCAATAATATGTATCTTTTTGAGATGGAGTCTTGCTCTGTCGCCCAGGCTAGAGTGCAGTGGCACGATCTCGGCTCACTCTAATCTCCGCCTCTCAGGTTCAAGCAATTTTTCTGCCTCAGCCTCCCGAGTAGCTGAGACTACAGGTGCATGCCACCACCTCCTGCTAATTTTTGTATTATTAGTAGAAAGGGGTTTCACCATATTGGCCCAGCTGGCCTTGAACTCCTGACCTCGTGATCCGCCTGCCTCAGGCTCCCAAAGTGCTGGGATTACAGGCATAGCCACTGCACCCAGCTGGGAACCAGTAATATTTTATATGAATTAATGAAAGCACAAGGTACATAAATTATGCCACTAGGATTATTCTTTTGTTCGTTATACTTCAGAACTTAAATTGCCTGTAAAATGAGACTAAAAGATTCTTGTGTCAACATATTTAAAATATGGCCATATTAATTATTTTAATGATTTTGTTTACAAGTTACACGAAAAATTATGATGAGTATGACTCTGTGTACCATTTATCAGACTTTCTCATGAGATCACTTGTTTTGGGAACTACAGACTTGAACCACAGAAATTGGAATATAAAATTTCTATCATTTGACTGTACAACATGTTAACAATCATTTTCTCCATCCAGGTACCATTTATATTTACACCATTTGCAGAAAACTGATGGCCATAGGTCAGTCTTCCAAGGTATGAAATGTACTGAACAAATGTTTTCCCCTCTATTTCTTGTTCTATTTTTCTTAAGGCTTTCATTACGCAGTATATTGAATGTTAAACAAGGAATATTTGGAGAATTATATAATATAAAATTTAGTAAATATATATTATATAGCATTACTATTCTTAGTTTTGCTTTAATAGGGATCATATGTTAAAATATAGATGATAAAATGTTAATGAAAAGAAAGGAAATTCCTGAGGATGTCAGTATTCTCTGTGTCTCAGATAGTCGTACTTGTCACACTTGATAGTGAACATCCATCTGGTTAGTATAGCTTTAGGTAGGGTGACCACCCATCCTGGCTTGCCCAGCAAAGTCCTGGTTTATGCCTGTTGTCCTGTTAGTAATTATCAGTAGCGCCCACTTTTACTAGTAAAAGTGGCCTGGGCCGGGTGCAGTAGCTTACACCTGTAATCCTAGCACTTTGGGAGACCTAGACAGGCAGATCACTTGAGGCCAGGAGTTAGAGACCAGCTTGGCCAGCATTGCAAAACCCCGTCTTTACAAAAAATGCAAAAATTAGCTGGACCTGGTGGCACATGCCTGTAGTCCCAGCTTCTTGGGAGGCTGAGGTGGGAAGATTGCTTGAGCCTGGGAGGCAGAGGTTGCAGAGAGCCGAGATCATGCCACTTTGCACTCTGGCCTGAGTGACAGAACAAGACTCTGTCTCAAATAAAATAAAATAGAAAATTTAAAAAAGGTGTCCTGGTTTGGATGATAAACTATGGTTACCCCCTTTATGTCATGATATGGAGCTTGGATTTTATTCTGCTTGAAGCGCTTCCACTTCTGGCCTGCATGCTAATCGGGTGAATGCACACTTAAACTCTAACCCAGCTGCATGACGAAGGCAAGGAGACTATTTTATAATAAGATTCTTACCAGTACTCACTGCTCAGTGTTAGCTTGAGGAAGTTGCTGACACTTCTATTGACTTCCCTACAATGTTGGTAGCGTTTTTGTCCGTGGGAGACATATTTATTCCCTGTATTAATTTTCCAGTTATTGGAATGTAGGCCAAGAAGGGCGAACATACTCCCGTTGCGACCCAGCTTGAGTTGTTGCTGGCATCTGAAACATGACTACTTTTATTCTTTATTCCATGCAGAACCTTACCCTGAATATTCTAACACTCAGGAGAGATACGTTTTTTCTTATTTCCTCAAAGCATAGCCAAGTATCTTAAAAGCTGACAACATTTGAAAAATAAAATGGAAGTAAAGAAATTTGCATGCTCAATCGATAACATTAATTATGTGTTCTCTCTCTGTTTTGCTTCTCAAATTAAAAAACTCTATGACAGACAGTGACTTGAAGCTCTGTGCCAGCTTTCTGAGTGTGAATTAAATTGAGGGGGGACTGTCCCAGGTCTAATGTAAACTTGGCCTACAGACTATTGCAATGATGCTACATTCAGTTCCACATGATTTCCTAAAGAGAATTTGCATACTCTGGTTGCTCTTGGTGTAACAACAACAAACACGGCTTCACAGGACCATCATAGTTTGGTCTGCTGCAGTGCTTGCTGCCAAAGCTTTGAAGGGCAGAGATGTCTGTGCCAACATTTGACTGTTAGTGTTTGTGCTTGTTAATGCTGAGAGAATTTTAAAGTGACAGTCATCTTAAAATAATTTCTTATTCATAACCTTTGTAAGACATTTCCTCTCTGCCTCATATACCTTGAGTTTGTCTCTGGTAAAATAAGGATAGTTGAGTATTTTGTCATGCTGATTAAATATGTATTCTAATCTTATTAGGAGATAAATCTTCAGTTTTTCAACCATAAGGAAACCATGGGAACCAATAATATTGTATATGAATTAATAAAAGCACAGGGTACATAAATTATGCCACTAAAATTATTCTTTTGTTAATTATATTTCAAAACTTAAATTGCCTGTAAAATGATACTAAAAAATTGCCTGTAAAATGAGACATCTAGTCAGAGATGTACTGAGACCAGGGGCAATGTCACCCTATACCGTTAGAATAATGCACGTCTGTTGACTAAATGGAATCCCATCATGACCCATTCTATTTTGGTTTACTTACTCAAATGGAGAAGCTGCAGAGAAGGGGTTGATATTTTCTGATAGTTCTTTTTTTCCTTTTTTTTTTTTTTGAGACTGAGTCTTGCTCTGTCGCCCAGGCTAGGTGCAGTGGCACCATCTTAGCTCATTGCAACATCTGCCTCCTGAGTTCAAGTGATTCTCCTGCCTCAGCCTGTGAGTAGCTGGGATTACAGGCACCCACCACCACGCCCGGCTAATTTTTTGTATTTTCAGTAGAGATGGAGTTTCATCATACTGGCTAGGCTGGTCTCGAACCCCTGACTTCCAGTGATCTGCCCACCTCGAGCCTCCCAAAGTGCTGGGATTACAGGCGTGAGCCATGGCGCCTAGCCCAAATTGAGTATAGTTCTGTGGTGCCAGTCTTGTGAGATGGGAATGGGAAGTGAGGGATGCAATAATTTTGGGGTGGTCGGTGGTTGTACATTTGGCACTTGGAGATCTGAATGACATTCTTTCTGTTTGTTCAATATAGTAAGTTTCAAGGAAATTAATAATTTTCACCAGTAATTCCCAGACCCCCAGATGGTAAATTGATTCCTGAGCTGAGGCTAAAAATGGATTTGATGGGTCCATTTAATGGAGACAAGTCCTTGGAGGTCCCACCATGTGTGAGATGTCCTGGGTCTGAGGGATTTGAATTCTGTAGTGACTTCAGAGTTCAAGTATGTTATAGCATAAGACGGGAGGAGAAATAGACCTGGGCTCCTCACGCTGTCTAAACTCCCGTTTGTATAGGATCTAGGCATGATGGCTAGCTTTTGTTATTCTTATTGAATCTGTAGTGTGTGCTAGGTCCTGTGAAAGACTTATGAGGTGGGCAGGAGCATCATCATCATTAGCATTGATTGAATGAATCTGCTGTCATCAAGCATGCTTGTAAGCGCTTTCATTTATCCTCACATGTAATCTTCACAGCACCACTTTGAGAAAACTGCTGTTATTACCTCTCTCTCTCTCTAATATATATACATATTTTTTTGAGGCAGAGTCTCGCTCTGTCACCCAGGCTGGAGTGCAGTGGTGCGGTCTTGGCTTCTGCAAGCTCCGCCTCCCAGGTTCACGCCATTCTTCTGCCTCAGCCTCCCCAGTAGCTGGAACTACAAGCGCCCGCCTCCACACCCGGCTAATTTTTTTTGTATTTTTAGTAGAGACGGGGTTTCACTGTGTTAGCCAGGATGGTCTCGATCTCCTGACCTCGTGTTCCGCCCACCTCAGCCTCCCAAAGTGCTGGGATTACAGGTGTGAGCCTTCGCGCCTGGCCATTACCTCTATCTTATGGAATAGATAAGCGAGCTGAGGCTGGGAAAAGTTACTTTGCTGAGGGTCACACATCTAGTCAGAGATGTACTGAGACCAGGGGCAATGTCACCCTGTACCGTTAGAATAATGCACGTCTGTTGACTAAATGGAATCCCATCATGACCTATTCTATTTTGGTTTACTTACTCAAATGGAGAAGCTGCGGAGAAGGGGTTGATGTTTTCTGATATAACCCTGTCTTCCTAACGACATCCTGAAAGCGAGAACTAACCAGGGGCTCTTCCCTAGTGCTGCAGCAGGTCACCAGCATAAGCTTAGGGAATAGAGGGTGGTCAGACTTCTGAAACCTCTTTCCCTGAGGACATACGACCATTTTGCTTTTGTTTATGGAGTAGTTTCTTTGGTGGCACTTAAAACTGTAGTATAGTACTCAGCAAACATTAAAGAATACATCTAGAATCTGTTCATTCTAAGAAACGATTGATTTCTGTTTCATTTTACTATGAAACTGAAGCAGTTTGACAATGTATGTGGCTTGAACAATTACTGTCAAATTATTTCACATACCATTACATAAACTTTAAGTCCCAACTTTGAAATTGTTTGTCATTTTCTTTAAATGGTGTAAACTGATATAAATGAGGCTGCAGCGCCATCCTGTGGCTGAGCTGATTAATCGTGTGTATGTTTCCTGCTGAACACCTGCAACATGCTCTTACTGGGGTCATGTTTTGGATATGGATATCATTTGACTTTTCAAAGTTCTTTTTTTTTTCCCCCATGAAGAGAATAGTCCTGATGTATCCTTTTAATTTTTTTTAATTAATAGAAACAATTATTTGTGGCTTTTAGGGGTAAGAAAAAAATGCTACAAATTGAGTCATATATTGAAAATGGCTTTTCCTGTTTAAACTTGAAAGATAGTTTTTCATAACCCTATGTGGTTTATGGTGAGCTTCTCCCCTTTGTCAAGGCTCCTCTGTGTAGTGGAAAGAACACTGCACTGGGGAGTTCAAAGACCTGAGTTTCAGCCCCAGCTCTTTTGCTTAGAATGAGTTTAGCCTCATGGAGTCAAGCTAGGTTACTTTTAAGATCCCTTCTGGCACAAAAAACTTTGATTTTCCATAAACAAATCAAATACAATGTGAACAATTGTTAACTGGAGCTATTTTTATTTTGAAATGTGACATTTCTAATACCAGGAGTCCTGAAGGATTTTAGAAAGATGTGAATTTAAAGGGAAAATTTAGGCATGGCTTAATCATATACCACCCAACCCAAACCACAACAATCCAAATGCAAAAATCTGAAATAGAGATTGTTAGGGAGCAGCAAATGTGAGAAAAATTCAAGGGTTTCTGGTGATATGATTAATTTTGTATCAGTTCACAAAGTTCACAACAATAACAATGGCAGCAACAACAAAAACAGCAATGAATCAACCTTAGTCTAATTTAGAAGAGGTACAGTGTCCATAGCCAGGGACTGAGAGCATTCACTGTACTGTGGTCTAGCCATACACCCTGAAAGGATGCTGGCAACCTGGGGCAAAGCCACAGAAGGCCAATTATGGTGGAGAAGGGCAGTGCAGTTCCGTGAGGGATGGAAGTACTTGGGGATATTTACCCTGGATGAGAGAGCCGAGGGAGAGGGCAGGCTGCATAAGTGTTTTTAGATTTCTGGATGGCTGTAATTTAGAAGTGAGTTTTGGACTGCCTTGTGCTGTGCTGGAAGGCATGATGAGGACTAATGCACTGGAGGTATATCAAGGTGGATTTTATTTTAGATTGTGGAAGTATTTTCCTAGCACGTCATGTACATTATCTCTTTCTCCGTAACAACACTATTGTGATGTGAAAAAATACCCATTTTACAGATGAGAAAATTGAGCCCTAAAGAGGTAAAATGATCCAGTCACTGGGTGGTAAAATTGGGACTGAAATTCCGGTTTATTTGATTCTAATCTTGGACCATTTCTACTAAGCACCGCAGGCCCCAGGCTGTAAGCCTTTTTCATTTTCCTTACCCCCTATACCAGCTAATCTTCAGAATAATGTACTGGTTCCACGCTAACAAATAACAATTGTATCATTGGAGTTAATTCCTAGACTACTGTTGACATGATAAATATTAATAAAAATGAGCGGAGAAGCTTCTAAGAAGACCAGATAGGCCGGGTGCAGTGGCTCATGCCTGTCATTCCAGCACTTTGGGAGGCCTAGGCAGCTGGATCACTTGAGGTCAGGAGTTCAAGACCAGAGTGGTCAACATGATAAAACCTCCTCTCTACTAAAATAGAAAATTAGCCGGGTGTGGTGGTGCACACCTGTAGTTCCAGTTACTTAGGAGGCTGAGGCATGAGAATCAATTGAACCTAGGAGGCGGAGGTTGCAGTAAGCTGCAATTGTGCCATTGCACTCCAGCCTGGATGACAGAGCAAGACTCTCTAAAAACAAACAAACAAAAAGACATTTTAGAATGTTTTCCAAAATGGCTTGAAAGTTTGAGTTCTTTAAATTATCTTTTACTTTTTAAATGCTTGTTTCTTCTTGACATGTTATTTATGGTATTTTTGGTTTAAGTAATCAGCAACTTGTGCTCACAACTTAGAATTTGATTATATTTAATACAATTATCATTATTAGCTTAAAATGAAAACAAATCCAATGGTGCCCTTTATTTTGCAGGCCTTAGAGTATCTCCTGTGGGCCAGCATGTGTATGGAGTCCTTGGTCCCGCTCCTGTCGCTCAGGTACTTGACATGGCGCACTACTCTCTACACAGCTGTTTGCCAGTGCTGCTATGACTGCCAAGCCGGAATTCATGGAGAGGTATGCTGCTTTTTACCTCTGAGGAGTCGAATTTTTTTTTTTTTTTTTTTGAGATGGAATCTCGCTCTGTTGCCCAGGCTGGAGTGCAGTGACGTGATCTTGGCTCACTGCAACGTCTGCCTCCCATGTTCAAGCGATTCTCCTGCCTCAGCCTCCTGAGTAGCTGAAATTACAGGCATGTGCCACCCATGCCCAGCTAATTTTTGTATTTTTAGTAGAGACAGGGTTTTTCCACGTTGGCGAGGCTGATCTTGAACTCCTGACCTCAGGTGATCTGCCTGCCTTGGCCTCTCATAATTACAGGTGTGAGCCACCATGCCCAGGCCCAATATTTTAAAATAGAGCGTATCCAGCGTTTTCTTCCTTAGATGTCTGCAAGGGGAAAAACAAAACCCAACCAAAGAATTGAAATGAAGCAAAGACAAAAGTTCAAGGCTTTATTTGCACAAATTTGTTTGGCTTTTCCATTCTGTTTCTCTCGCCCTCCTTTCTGGTCTCTCCTTTATTCTCTATTCACTTTCACCTTCTTTTGCTCCTTTTCTGAGTAAGATTTTTGGATTTTTTTAAATTAAGATTTTTATTTTTAAATGACAAATAATAATTGTATATACTTAGGAGGTACAATGTGATGTTTTGTTGGATGTATACACTGTGGAATGATTATATTAAGCTAATTAACATATTCATCTTCTCACATGCCTTTTTCTTGTAGTGAGAACACTTAAAATCTATTCATTAGCAATTTTGAAATATGCAATACATTGTTGTTAACTATGATCACCATGCTGTGCAATAGATCTCAAAAATTTCTGTCTGCTGTCTTTCCATCCTCATTTTGCTCTTGGACACAAGCCGCCTTCCCTCCTCGTTTAGTTTTGTGTTCCTTATGACTTCGTACACTCTTGTCTTGCTTTTCTCTGCTAACCACCATTTAATACACTTTCTTTTTCTTTTGTTTTTTTTCTTTCTTTTTTAAGACAGAGTCTTGCTCTGTTGCCCAGGCTGGAGTATAGTGGTCTGATCACGGCTCACTGCAGTCTTAGTCTCTGAAGTAGCTGAGACTGCAGATGCACACCACTATCCCCAGCTAATTGAATACACCTTCTAACGACCATTTAATACACTCTATTTTTTTGTTTTTCCTTCTTTCATATCTTTTTGATTGAGTACTTGAAATATAACTTAACTTCAGGCTGGGCATGGTGGCTCATGCCTGTAATCCCAGCACTTTGGGAGGCTAAGGCGGGTGGATCACCTGAGGTCAGGAGTTCAAGACCAGCTTGGCCAGCATGGCAAAACCTTGTCTCTACTAAAAATACAAAAATTAGTCAGGCATGGTGATGTGTGCCTGTAGTCCCAGCTACTCAAGAGGCTGAGGCAGGAACCCGGGAGGCTGAAGTTGCAGTGAGCTGAGATCGCACCATTGCACTCCAGCCTGGGCAACAAGAGTGAAACTCCATCTCAAAAAAAAATTATATATATATATAAAATTTATATATATGTGTGTGTGTGTGTGTATATATATATATATATATACACTCCAGAGCTTCTATTGGCCTATAGAGCGCCCCAGTGTAAATCTGAAAAAGGCACCTTCTCTACATTACATGATACCTGGCTTGGTCAGTGGATGGGGCCTTGGTGAGAATGAGAAATAAGCACCCCTTCGTTTGGGCCAACACGTTCCTGCATGAGGGTGCATGGTTTGGTATGTGGGGCATAAGCTGGACTTCTGCTCTAGTCAACCTCTTTGGCTGGAAGTCTTGTGTAGGACTGCCTTCATGGCTGTGCACACGCCTGTTCATATCTTGTTAACAACCATAAATAAATCATCTGGCCAATTCACAGTTCCATTTAGTTTTTCCTGCCTGAACTAATTCTGAAGGGTTAGATGCTGTTGGCACATAGGCAGAGGAACAGCCTAATTCAACCTTCATGGGTTACTTGTATAGCTCAAGATAGATTCCAGAAAGACAACTCATCATATATATATATGTGTGTGTGTATATATATATATATAGTTAACTTCAGTGTACTAGTGGTGGCATATTTTGTTCTGTAGCTATTAAGATTATTAAGGAATGAAACTTTTATAGCGTTTTGGCCATTTGATCCCATTTGGGATTTTTCTTTATTGGAAAATGTAACCCTTCATATATGTTAATATTGTGGTTGGTCTAGAAGCATCTTCATTAAAAATTACAAATGGTGAATGAAATATTTCAAAGAGATGGTGAAATAAGGGACATGAACTCTTGTTATTGAGTTCTTAATAACTCCCTTGAACTCATTTGTTATCTCTAGAGGGTTATAATAATGGTGATATGATTAAATAAGAAAGCCTCCCTTCTTCCTTCCTTCAGATATTTATTAAACACAGTGTGCTGCGTACTGGAGACACAAAAATGAGTAAGATCCTTTCAGGAAGTCACAGTTTGGTGGTCAATGTGAACAGTTAGGTAGATAATACAGCATGTCACGATAGGAAGGTTGGGATTTGAGAAGAGCAACTGAGGACGCGCACGCGCGCGCGTGTGTGTGTGCGCGCACACGTGAGGACATGCAGTGCCAAATGCTGAGAAGCGATAGTCTGTATGGAGCTACTGTTGAAGTCATATTTCAGCTTTCCTTTTTAAAATTTCATAATTCATAAAGTTACCGTATCTCACCATTTATTGGAGAGTTTAATGGTTCTTAAAGAAAATGATAGACTAGATAAAAGGAGTCAGCATTAACTTAGAGCTTAATTCACAGATTAAATCGAATGCCTAGGAGAACAAAACATATTGTCTTTATACATTTTAATCACTATATTCTGATTTATGAATTAAATTTATTTTAATCGCATGTAGGCATTTGCTCGGCGTGCTTTGGCTAAAATTGATGAGTTAAGGCAACTGGAATTAATGAGTTCCTCAAAATCCCCGGAAGAATCGCGAAGATATTTTAGAGAGGCCACAATAAAGGTATAAAAATTTCATGAAATAAAAGAAATTACCACACTCTACAGCTGATTAAATACTTAATATTAGTAGTTGGGAAGTACATCTCATTGTTATTTCATGTATAATTCTGCTTTTTGAGGCAGATGGCAGTGATGATCTTCAAAAGAGGAGTCTTTGAATCTAGAAGAAAAAACAAAGCTGTCTTTAGACCCAAGATAAGAATTAACCTAAGGGAAGTACAAACTGTAAGTCTAAACATATCTTCTCTCTTTAAGACTCTTTTTGCAGTGTATTTGTATTATGCTCCGATGTCTTTCAAGCCTAGTCACTCATTAAATTCTGCCCCCAGTTCTCTGCCTCAATGGGTAAATAGAGAGAAGAGTGTTTTTCTAGTTTGCACATAGCCTCACTTCATCTCTTTCTCAAAGCTTTTATGTCTTAGCACAATCCCAGTTTTGCAAGCTTAAAGGACAAGAGGCTGAAGAGGAGCCAGTGAAAGATTTCAATGAACCGGCTCTTGCAAATGAATAGGCCTCTGAGTGGTTCTGCGCATGCCTTTGTCTTTGACCGCTTAGGGTGAGCTGAGCAGGGGAGCAGGCTTTGAGCTGCAGAGAAGATGGAGGCACCTTTTCTCATCGGCCTTAGGTTTCACCCTTGGGAATGTTCAGGAGCTAGGTTATCCAGTAGCAACAAACAACCCCCATACCTCAGGTGGCTTAAAACAATTTATTGTCTACTGGAGTCATATGTTATTTTAGTTATCAGGGGCTCTGCCTTACAAAAGCTGCTCAGGGCCAGGCTCAAGAGCAGCCTTCGTTTCAAACATTGCTAGTCATTTGGCCAGAGGGGATAAAAGAGAGCTCTGGGGAACCTTGCACATCTAGTGATGCTCAGCATAGGAGTGACATGAGTCTGTTCTTCTCATATGTTGTAACCAGCCACACAGCCTCTCCCAACCACAAGCAAACACTAGTAAAGATGATCGTAGGGCAGGGAGTAGGCAATGTCAGGCCTGTGGGGCCCTCAGCCCTTTTTGTTCCCCTTGTCTTTTTTTTCTTCTTCCCTTTGCCTTCCTGACTCTTAATATCCCCCAGGGCCCAGCTCTATATCGTTTTGAAGCTCTCCCTGACTGTTCTAGATGGATATATACCCTCTTCTGCGAGCTTCCGTGTAGGGATTGAAAATGAATCTATGGTGAAGGAGATGAGCAGTTTCTTACAGAAGAGGTGTATCAAATCTCAGAACCTGGAAAGGATTTGGGAAATCATCTGGTTCAGTCATTTTATATTACAGATGGGAAAATAAAACCTGCAGTATTTAAATGGCTGGCTCAAGATCACAAAGGCAGCCGCTGGCAGAACCAGAACCAGCACCTGCATCTCTTAAGTCCAGTGCTTGGCCGCTACTCCAATCACTGCTACTCTCTTTCCTCATTTCTTCTTAACACATTTAGGAGTAATCCTTTTTCTTTCTTTTAAATGAATTATTATATTTAAATACAAATGGTTTTTGGACATGGTACCTTTCCATTGCTACTTAGTGTGACAATATTGACTACTGAGCCCGCAGGTACATTTTATACATCCCTTTTAAGATGTATCCCTTACTAACCAACAGTCTATTAAATGGTGAGTAATTAATTAAATTATAGGCAATTCCTCGGATAAGCTTTTAAGCTGCCTGCATCTGGGATTAAGTAGCGGTGCTATAGTCTTTGTAAGAGGGCAAGGAACAATTTTTTTTTTCTCTCCAGCATTTTTTTTTCTCTGCGCAAGCAAATTTAAATACCCAAAGTTGCAAGACTGTTGTTACTTAGAATATTATTAGGATTTAGTTATCCTGGTAGCAAAACTAAATACATTTTCAAAGAAAAATGTTTAAAATTCCAGATAAAATTACATTAAAAACTAAGTTATATCTGATTTCCCTTAAGATAATTGTTGAATGAAAAGTTCTGGTGATTTTTTTTTAAGAAAAAATTGTAATTGTTTAGTGAGTAGTTGTTTCAGAGACTAGTCAACACATTCTTTTCATAATATCATCCTATATTACCTTGGCATATTTTGCAGAATGTCCTGTTTTCTGTGTATGAAATAATTTTATTATGTTTCTACCAAATAAATTAATTTCAATATGCATTAAACATATTTTCTGAAACATTTCTGGGTTTGTATGTAAGTTGTTTACTCACAGTAAATCATTTTGACTCTCAAAATATTTTTTTAAAGGACGACTAATTCAGACTCCTAATAATTGATTAGTTAGTGATTTATTCAATAAATATTTTTAAGTACCTGCTATGTGAACAAGTAGATGAAGATTACATTCTAGTGGAGAATTACATCATAAAAAATAAATAAAATAATTATAGCTTGTGATAAATATTAATAAATAAATAATGATAATGGTGAGGATGAAATGAGTTACATGTAAAGCCCTTAGAATGTTCCCGGTGGATAGTAAGTAGGTCCTCAGTAAATATTAGCTATTATTGTTTATTTATTATTTATTAATTCAACAACCATGTATTGAGTGTCTGCTGTGGTTTCAAGTATAGTGGAATATAGAAATACTAAATTGCAGCCCTGGCTTTTTGAAGGGCCTTGGAATAATGGACAGAATTTGGCTAGACAGGGAGAATAGAGATAAACATTCCAAATGAAGGGTCAGAGCATGGTCATAACTTAGAAGCCAGAGTAGGCAAAATTTGCTGGGGGTCAGTGATAAATAGAGCTTGACTAGATAGGAATAGACACGTGATGTTGGGAAATTAACATAATACATCTCCTAGAGTAGATGTCATGGAGACCATAGATTTAGAGATGGAACCAGACTGTACAGTTGTGCCATTCAGATTTTCATTCATCCTGACATTTTAAATAATAATATATCCTATGCAGTATATGTGTCATAATTTGTCTATTTTGTCATTATTATTTTAGTTCTTTCAAATTTTTTGCTATTTTAAGTATTGACATCATCCACATCTTCAGACATGCTTATTTTTTTTCTTTCTTTTATTTCCTGTGGATAAAATTCCAGGTGTAGGATTACAGAATCGAAGGACATAAACATTTTATTTCCCTTGATATATATTGCCAACTTGATTTCCAAAACGAGTATTCCTATTTTCAAGGTGACAACTTGCAAGTACCAATTATTTTACCACAAGCTGTTATTATTTTTATATTATTATTTGTTTTATTTTATTTTTCTTTGCTAATTCAGTTTTCATAAGATGGCTTGCCATTTTAACTTTGTTTTTTTGAGCCAGCTTTTCTTTCATTGTGTGAATTATTTTTCACAGTCTTTGACCATTTATCTACTAGGGATTTTAATTTTCAAAATATACTTGAATGAGCTCATTATTTTTATAGAAATTATTATTTTGCTTTTTATACTTGACAATCCATTGTTTTCCTTATTGCTTCAGCTTTAATTCGTTTTTATAGATCTTTTAAATATTTATATTTCAAAATCTTTTACTTAATATTTTATTTGCAGCTCTGATAAATATTCCATTCTTTTTGCTAGTTTTTCTATGAAATTTTAAAAGTAATTTCATTGTTTTATTCACTTGGGTTTTACCATTTCATTTTGAATACTTCTAATTATTCGTAAAGTTGATTATGCTGTTTCAATATGTATTTTTAAAAGCTCCGTTTTAACCTAAATAAAAATCTTAGGAAAAACTCTTACCTCTATAAGAAAAGAGAAGGCAGGACATGAAGTTCAAATTTTTTTGAAGTTTTTTTGAGACGGAGTCTCACTCTGTCACCTAGGCTGGAGTGCAGTGGCATGATCTTGGCTCACGGCAACCTCCACCTCCTGGGTCAAGCAATTCTTCTGCTTCAGCCTCCCAAATAGCTGGGACTACAGGCACACACCACCGTGTCTGGCTAATATTTGTATTTTTAGTAGAGACAGGGTTTCACTATGTTGGCCAGGCTGGTCTCGAACTCCTGACCTCGTGACCCACCCACCTCGGCCTCCCAAAGTGCTGGGATTACAGGCGTGAGCCACTGTGCCCGGCCTCTTGTTGAAGCTTTTAACATATCAGTTGGCCTATGGATTGAAAAGGTACAGAAGCTTATGAGTAGGGAAGCTAGTGTTTGCAGGAAAGTAGTTCAAGCGAACTTTATCCCTGCTTTTGTTTTTCTGTCTTTCTGACTTTGCCTTAATAAGAGAAATAAAAGCAAGGGAATTATGAGGGTATCTTCTAGCTGGATAAGGATTCTAGAAAAGTCAACTAGAACTACAGTTCTTATTTGCTGGCAAACTAAATGCAGAGAACAGGTCATTTGTTGGAGAGAAGAATGAAGTGTGGCAGGAAGCATGTGCAAGAAGTGCAGTCATTTGGGGCCAGTACAAAGCATAATGACTGGGAACCCACACAGGTTCTAAACAGTCACTAGCCTGTTAGCATAAAGCTGATCAATTCTTTCTTAGAGTTAATTACCACAAACCTTGTTATTTATACTGCTAAATACTGCTTCAACTTTTGGCTTGAGGACCTTCTGCATGAGAATATCCTGTGGTGCTTATTAAAAGTGTCCAGACACACAAAATCTCTGGAAATTTGGTCTTGAATCTACAAAGCACCCCTGAGGGATTCTTAGGTAACCAAAGTTTGAATGTCAGTTCCTAAGGCTATAATGAAGATACTATAAAGCATATGAAGGTTTATGCTCGCTTAATAAGCAAACCATAATAAACAACCTTTTAATGCTGCCTTGGAAACACAAGCATATGAAGAAACAACAAAGTCTTTGATGTAATGGCAGCATGATATCTCTAATGAAATCTGGAGTGACATCTCAAAAAATGAAAACATAAAAGCAGGTGTTACCTGCTTGTTGTTAGACCAACTGCTCTCTGTTTTAGCATTGATTAAGCATGCCTTACTTTTCTTTGCCTTATAACAGGGTTTTTTGTCTTTTTTTTCCCCTGAGGGTCTCACTCTGTCACCCAGGCTGGAGTGCAGTTGCATGACCTTAGCTCACTGCAGCCTCTACCTCCCTGGGTTCAGGTGATCCTCCCACCTCAGCCTCCCAAGTAGCTAGGACTACAAGCACATTCCAACATGCCTGGCCAATTTTTAAATTTTTGTTGAAATGGAGGTCTCACTGTGTTGCCCAGGTGGTCTCGAACTCCTTGGGTCAAGCAGTCCTCCTGCCTTGGCCTCCAAAAGTGTTGGGATTATAGGCATGAGCCACTGTGCCCACAATATAATAGCTTTAACAAATGGACTGAACTTTTTTTTCTCAATTTCAGTTATCATGGCCACGTACTGTCACAGAGCGGCTATTGGATGAGATGTTTGATAGCACTGCATCCCGGTTTCTGGCTGTCTTGGAAGCTCTTTCTGATTCAAACAGGCGAATACTGCAAACTGGACCCATTGTTACAGATGAAGTAGAGATTCATGATGTTGTCTCAGAATTGTTTATGGCAGGAAGAGAACTTTTGATAAGTAAATAAGATGTTAAGATATTGTTTTATGATAGAATGATAGACATGAGTAACAAAAATTTTAGCATGATAGTCCATACATGGGAAACTGATAAAATTTATATTATTTTATTTTGGTTTGATTGGTTGGTTGTTTTTGAGATAAAGTCTCTCTTTGTCACCCATGCTGGAGTGCAGTGGTATGATCATGACTCACTGCAGCCTCAACTTCCTGGGCTCAAGTGATCCTCTCTTCTTAGCCTCCCAAGTAGCTGGGACTGCAGGTATATTCCACCATACCTGGCTAATTTTTGTATTTTTTGTAGAGATGGGGTCTCACCATGTTTCCCAGTCTGGTCGCGAACTCCTGGGCACAAGCAGTCCACCCATCTCGGCCTCCTAAAGTGCTGGAATTACAGGTGTGAGCCACTGTGCCCAGCTGATATAATTTATATTGGTCTTGAATTCAGCAACCTTGCTAAGGTCAATTGATATTTCAAATAATGTATTAGTAGATTTTGGAGGGACTTTTTTTGTATATACAATCATCTATGAATGGCTTATTTCTGTCCAGTCCTTAATCTTTTAATTTCTCTTTTCTTGCATTTCTTGATGATTGCACTGTCTAGGATTTCCAATAACACATGGAAAGAAGTGGTGATAGCAGACTCGCTTGTCTCAATTTTTTCCTCAGTTGGAAAGCTTTCAACATTTTGCCATTATTTGAGATATCTACTGAATAATTATTATAGATACCCTTTTGCAGATCACAGATGTTTCTTTTATTCCTGGTTTGCTAAGTGTTTTTTTTTTTTTTTTTAAATCTTGAATAGTTTAATTTTAGGAAAAGCTTTCTCTGAATTTATTGAGGTTTACTGAGTTGATCAAATGGCTTTCTCATTTATTTGTATTAATGTGGTCGATTATATGGATTGTTTATCTAATTTTTAACCATCCTGTTTTTGGAATAAACCTAATTTGGAGGTAAGGATTAGCCTTTTGATACATTGCTTGATTTGTTTGGTAATGTTTAATATTTTTGCTTCTCTGTTGATGGGACAGACTTTTCTTTCTTGTAATGTTCTTTTTAGGTTTTGATCACAAGGTCATATTAGCCTCGTAAAATGAGTTGAGAAGTATGCCCTCTTTCTCCATTATCTGTAAATGTTTTGTGTCATATTGGTGTTATTTCTTCCTACATGTTTGGTTGAATTTTCTGGTGCAGCCATCTGTACCTGGAATTTTTTGTATGGGAATATTTTAAATGATGAATTCAGTTTCCTCCATAGATATAAAAGTTTTCAGATTTTCTTTTCATTCTTTTAAAAAAAAATCTATCTCTTTGGTAAATTGTATTTTCCTTGAAAATTTTCTGTTTTATCTAATATTTAAATTAATTAATTAATTTATTTTTTGAGACAGAGTTTTGCTCTTGTTGCCCAGGCTAGAGTATAATGGCATGATCTCTGCTCACTGCAACCTCCACCTCCCCAGTTCAAGTGATTCTCCTGCCTCAGCCTCCCAAGTAGCTGGGATTGCAGGCATGTGCCGCCACCACACTTGGCTAATTTTGTATTTTTAGTAGAGATGGAGTTTTGCCATGTTGGCTAGGCTGGTCTCAAACTTCTGACCTCAGGTGATCCAACTGCCTTGGCCTCCCAAAGTGCTGGGATTACAGGCGTGAGCCACTGCGCCCAGCCTTAAAATTTTCATTAAGGATTTCCAGTATCTCATCATGATCTTTTTAATGTCTGTAGAATCTGTTTGATGTCCTTTTTTTCACTGTAACATTGATCAGTTTGCCTTCTCTGTTATTACCAAGGGTTCACCAATTTCATTAGTCTTTGCAAAGAAACAATATTTGACCTTGTTGATCTTCCCTATTGTATGTCCATTTTCCATATTATTGATTTTTGCTCTTCATTACTTCCTTTATTGTACTTTCTTGGGTTTGCTTTACTGATTTAAAAAACTTACTGACTTGGAAGCTTAGATCATTGATTTTTAGGATTTGTTATTATTTGCATTAAATGCATATTAAGACATTTATTCTAAATTCAGCTTTAGCTATGTATCTGAAGTCCTGATATATCATATCTTTACTACTATTTGGTTAAGAATATTTTCTAATATGCAACATGATTTATTCTTTGATATATGGGTTCTGAATCAAAATATGGGAGATTTTCTAACTATCTTTTGGTTACTGATTTCTTTGTTAATTATACTATGGTCAGAGAGCATATTATGTATTATTTGGAACTGTGAACATTTGTTAAGATAGTCTTGATGGCCTGGCAAATGACCAGCTATGGTAAATAGTCTGTGTGTACTTGAAAGACTATGTATTTTTTTGTTGTTGTTGGGTGCATTGCTTTATATATATGTTGATTAAGTTAAGCTAGTAAATCATGTGGTTAGGTCTTCTCTATCCCTATGGATAGTTTTCATCTTTTTATTTTATAAATTACTCAGAGAAATATGTTAAACATCTGCTATGCATTTCTGTTAGTGTGGAATTGCAAGAGCATGGGATATTCCTATTTTGCTTCATCAGATACTGTTTTACAAAGTGGTTTTTTTAGTTTGCACACCCATTAACATTTTATGAGGGTTCCATTACTCCAAAATCTCTCTGACAGTATTTTCTGTCTTTCTCATTTTGTCCATTTTGGTGTGAATTCAGTGGTGTTGCAGTATAGACTTACATTTCTCTGATGACTGGTAAAGTTAGACATCTTTTCATACACTTTTTTCACTATTGGATATCCTATTTTGTGAGGTGCCTATTTTAACCTTTTGTCCTTTTTTCTGTCGATTTGTAGGAATTCTTTATATATTCTGGATATAAGTCCTTTATTGAATACATGTATTGTAAATATCATTTCTTACTTGGCGGCTTGTCTTTTCATTCTCTTAATGATATCCATTGGGGAACAGAAATTCTTAATTTTAATGTAGTCCAATTTATCAATATATCCTATATAGTTGATCCTTTGTGTGTCGTGGTTAAGAAGTCTCAGCTACCCCAATGTAAATATATTCTCATATGTTTTCTTCCATAAATTTTATTGTTTTACCCCTCACATGAGGTCTTTAATTAGAAATCAGATCTTTTTTGTTGATACGAAGTAGAGATCAAGATTTATGTACTTCTATATGTATATTCAGTTGACAGAGCACCATTTATTGAAGATAACTTCCTTTCATTGGCTGCAGTATCCCTTAGTCATAAATTAGGTGGCCGTATGTGTGTTGTCTGTTTTTTCACTCAGCATAATTCTCTTGAGATGTATCCAGATTGTGTATATTAATAGTTCACTTGGACGGGCACAGTGGCTCATGCCTGTAACCTTAGCCCTTTGGGAGGCCAAGACGGGCTGATTCCTTGAGCCCAGGAGTTCGAGACCAGCCTGGCTAACATGGTGAAACTCTGTCTCTACTAAAAATAAATTAGCCAGGCGTCATGGCCTGTGCCTGTAGTCCCAGCTACTTGGGAGGCTGAGGCAAGAGAATCATTTGAACCCAGGAGTCGCAGGTTGCAGTGACTGGAGATCACATCACCACGACTGCACTCCAGCCTGGGTGACAAAACAAGACTCTGTCTCAAAAAGAAAAAAAAGGTTCACTTATTACTGCTGAGTATTATTTTATGGTATGGACACACCACAGTTTGTTTAACCACTTACCCTTTGAAGGACTTTTGAATTATTTCCAGTTTTTGGCTATTAGAAATAAAGCTGCTATGAACAGTTGAGTACAAGTTTTTGTGTGAAGGTAAGTTTTCATTTCTCTGGAATAAAACGTTCAACAGTGCAATTGGTGGTTCAGATGCATGATAAATTAGTCTTTAGTTTTGTGAGAGACTCTCATACTATTCTCCAGGGTGATTCTGCTATATTTCCACCAGCAATGTGTGAATGATCCAGTTTCAGAAAATCCTTGACAGAATTTGGTGTATCATTAGTTTTTTATTTTAGCCATTCTGATAGGTATGTAGTAATATCCCACTGTGATTTTAATTTGCATTTCCCTAATGGCTAAAGATGTTAAACAGTTTTTCATGTGTTTATTTGCCATCTGTATACTCTTTCTCTAGTGTCTTTTGTTTACTTTCTCATTGCATTGTTAGTTATTTCTCTTGAGTTATGAGAGCTCTTTTTATGTTCTGAATACAAGTCCTGGTCATTGCTTTTAAGACAGAAAATACCTTTATTAAGATTTTTTTCCTCCTCATCATTACTTCCCATTTTTCATTGCTTCTGTCTAAATTCATTTCTTTTTGCTCAAATACAAACTCTAAGAATTTTGAAGTAGTTTGGATGGATATAATAGTTTATTTACAAGTTTCTTTAAGATTTTGATGCTATTTCTTAATTGTCTTGTATATGTAGTGTTTCTGTTGAGAAGTCTAATGTCAGTTTAAATCTTCTTGTTTTATAGATGTATCTTTTACAATTTTCGCTTTCTTATGATATTCTTACATTTTAATCTACTGGATCTAGGGGTGGGTTTAGTAATGCAGCAGATACTTTGAGGTCTTATATCTTTCTTTCGTTTTTTCATGTTACTTTTAAATTTCTTTCCTTATATTCATTATTTTAAAAAATCCTTCAAGGCATTGAAAATGCCATTAGACAGATGTTAACAGGATAGAGGTTCATCCTCTATGTCTTATTTATTTTATTCTTTTTATGTCTTTATTCTGTTGCCTTCTGGGAAGCTTTCTCTGTCTGATTTTTCAGGTCAGGAATTTGATCTTTGATTCTCTCTGTTCTACTCTTCTGTTTACCTATTTAATTATTTGTTTCAACAATGATATACTTTTTTGTTATTTTTGTTGTTTGTTTGAGACAGAGTCTTGCTCTGTTGCCTGGGCTGGAGTGCAGTGGCACAATCTCAGCTCATTGCAGGCTCCACCTCCTGGGTTCAAGTGATTCTCCTGCCTCAGCCTACCGAGTAGTTGGGACTACAGGTATGCGCCACCACGCCAGGCCAATTTTTTGTGTTTTTAGTAGAGATGGGGTTCCACCATGTTGGCCAGGCTGGTCTCAAACTCCTGACCTCAGGTCATCTGGCTGCCGTGGCCTCCCAAAGTGCTGGGATTACAGGCGTGAGCCATCGCGCCCAACCGTCAACGATGATATACTTTATACCTTGAATCCACTTGGTTCTTTTTCACAGCAGTTGTTTTTGCCTCATGTTTCTAATATCGTCTTTTATTTTTCTGAGATAACATTTTCACTTAAGTTCTTGTTTGTGCTGTTCCATTTTCCTGCTTCTTGTGGTAAAGGATGCTTCATTTGTGGTTTTTCTTTCAAGGTGTTTTTGCTTTTAATTTTTTTTCCCATGAGCTTTCCTTCTTGGAACAGTTAGCTGACTTGGCTTCAGTGTCCACCTGAGAGGAGGGAGAAAAGCCTTGAGTTAGCTCCTATGCCTTTAGGTGAGTTTAGTGTGTGTGTGTGCGCATGCGGGTGCACATGTGTGTGCAAATGCCCATCTGAATGCAGGGAACCTCTGGTGCCATGGTTTGGGCTCTTCTCTTCCCAAGAAAAATACAAGTTTTTAGATAAGAATTTCCTTGACTTTCTTCACTCAAACCCCCAAATTTACCCTCATGCGTATCGATCCTTTTCCACCATCTCTGGTTTAGATGGAGAGGATGTTTCTCTTTGTGTCGTTAAGCCTAATCTCTGTAAGTGTCCAAGTGGTCCCATTATACCATGTCGTTGTTTTTTTTTTTTCTGAGACAGGGTCTCACTCTGTCACCCAGACTGGAGTGCAATGGTGCGATCATGGCTTACTGTAGTCTGGACCTCCTGGGCTCTAGCGATCCTCCCACCTCAGCCTCCTGAGTAGCTGTGAATACAGGCATGTGCCACCATACCTGGCTAATTTTTGTATTTTTTGTAGAGTCGGGGTTACTCCATGTTGCCCAGGCTGGTCTCAAACTCCTGGCTCAAGGGATCCACCTGCCTTGGCCTCCCAAAGTGCTGGGATTACAGACATAAGCCACTGTGCCTGGGCTTCCGTGTTTTCTGTCAACTTCCTCCCTATACGTCTTCTTCTTGGCACAGCCAGATTTATTGAAGGAATCATCTGTTTTCATTGTTCCTCAGTATTTTCTTTCTTCTTATACATTAGGTAGACCCTAGCATTCTACTAAGAATGTCATGGACATTGCTCAATCCAGGGGTCACTTTCAGTTACTTTTCTTTTCTTTTTTCTTTTTTTTAAGAGGCAGGATCTTGCTGTATTTCTCAGGCTGGACTCGAACTCCTGAGCTGAAGTTGTCCTCCTGCTTCAGCCTTCTGCGTAACAGAGACTATAGGTGCATGCCAATAAGCCTGGTAGTCCTTTTCTTCTGTACTTTCTGTATGTATGTGTTACTGTTGAATACTCCTTTCTCTCTAAACACTCACCTTTGCAGCCTTTATTCCCTCTGCTCTTCTCTTAAATGTTGCTGTTTCTTGTTATTCTGTGCAAGGCAACATGATCCATGGCTGAATCTACTATTTACTGCGGATATGTAATGATGACTCTAAAAGCTCTGTCCCCGTTTTAGATCTCTTTCCAGTCTGTATCTAGGAACTCTTGCTCATTCTGTGTTTGAGATTCCATTCTTTTTCCCGTGAGTATCCTTCCCTAACTGCCCTCCTTCTCTAGATCTGTTGGATGCCCTTCCTGTTTGCCCCCAAAGCACTACCCTGTATTTGGCCACTAAGATTTCTTGTTTCCCCCACTAGAACATAAATCCTATGAAAGCAGGGATTGTGTTTTCCTGGTGCCTGGAAGTGTGTATAGTGAATATTTAATAAATATTTATTTGCATGAATGATATTCAAAACTCTCTTCTTCCTTTCCTAGTGTCAAATATTGGTGCAGATGGAATGCTTGATTTTCCAAAAACATCTCTTCTGGAACTTATGATAGAAAGAAAAAATGTTATTTCTGTGGATGCTGCTGTGAAATTTATAAAATTAGCTTTTACCTATGAGGAGTGGAGTTTATTTGAATCTTCTGCTGCACATATTATTTATTTTCTCCAGGTAATATATGCAAAATTATCCTCCTGGTTTTGTTTTGTTAAAATGACATCCAATTACTAATTAACGTGTGGGATATACTTCTCCAAGAGGCAGGATGATCCAGAGTCAAAGAAAGCAGAGAAGGATTTAACTCTTCTAATTGCAATGGAACCACTAATTAATGTAAAGAGAAACAAAGGTTTGATCTTTCCTTTGGAAAACTATAAAGAAGGACAGTCGGTTCAAATTTATTTAAAAAAAGTTGCTGTTCATGGTGAGTATTTATTTGTCCGTTCAAAAATTTAGTTTGACGAAATATGCTCTTTTATAGATGTGGTGAGAGAAAGAATATTGAAGGTGGAGGGAGCAAGAGATACAAAGGCCCTGAGACAAGAGTGTGTTTGGTGATTGCAGGAATGGCATGGGGGCATGTGTGACCGAGTGTGGTAGGTGACAAGGCTAGAGAAGTAGCTGGGTGCTAGATGATGTGGTTCCTGGGTTTTGTAAGGATGCTAGATTATATTCTGAGTGACAGTTTTGAGTAGGGGAATGAGGTTCTATTTACCTTCTGGCTTAGTTGGATAAGAGGGAGGCCCGTAAGGCAATGAATCAGAGGACAAAGTCATCAGTTCATGTTAGGAAGGGAAGGTTTGGTAATCTCCTGTCTCTTTCCAGCCTGCAGTGTTTGCCATTCTAGGACTTTTCAAATCCTAAAAGTTATTTTGTGTGTAATTGAAAATCTGCAGTGTCTACTTTTTACACCAAAGAGAACTATTTAATTCCAGCTTTTTAATGTTTTGTCATGTTCTTAAAGTATTGTATGGCTTATCAGTTGCAGTAAGTAATTTGTACCAAGTAATGATATATATGCCTTCTACTGATTTCTGAATCAATGTTTTTATTATTTTTCTTTCAACTACCTTATTTTGTATGCATTTTAATATTATAAGCCTCTTCAGTTTCTTTTTGGACATAGCATACAAATGTTGGATTTATGATAATAATGGTCTATTTTTATTGGATTAGAGCCACTAAGATTAGTTTTCTTTTCTGTTTTTTTTTTTTTTTTTTTTTTTTTTTTGAGACAGAGTCTCACTCTGTTGCCCAGGCTGAAGTGCAGTGGCACGATCTTGGCTCACTGTAACTTCTGCCTCCTGGGTTCTCCTGCCTCAGCGTCCTGAGTAGCTGGGATTACAGTGGCTTGCCACCATGCCCAGCTAATTTTTGTATTTTTAGTAGAGACAGGGTTTCACTGTGTCGGCCAGGCTGGTCTCAAACTCCTGACCTCAAGTGATCCATCTGCCTCAGCCTCCCAAAGTACTGGGATTACAGGCATAAGCCACTGCTCCCAGTCAAGATTAGTTTTCATATAGAAGTATTTAATTTGTCTTATTGACATGATATTTGCCCGCCTATCATTTGTGTCATTTTTGTAGCAATTTGTGTTTCTGTGCCTTTTCTATTTGAAATTTTGGAAGTGATTTTTTTGTTTCATTTTCCTCTACTTTATGAATTTAGATACTTGTTTGAAGAATTGTGGATATTCAGAGGATATTTTCCGTTTGGCAGCAACCTTGTATTTCTGTGTCTGCACTGCTCCCCAGGTGAAACAGCTATTTTAAATAATTTTTATTAGTGTGGAAGTAGGTTTTTGTGCCTAACTTAAGGCCAGAATTAAAATATCACAGCAATTACGCCTTGCTAAAATTTTATTTTGTTTAATCATTAGAATATAGGATTAAGTTAGATTCTGAGTTGTAGTTTTAAGTTTCGTTTTATTATTGTTGTCATTTTGAGTGTCTGTTCCTTTTTGGGAAATTCTCAGGCTGTGTTTCTAATAGTGAAGGAAAGGAGGCAGTGGTTTTTAAGAAGAGTTAATATGTTTAATGAAATACTGCTTTCAGTCCATGAGTACAAAGCCTTGTTATTATTGGAAGTCACTTTCCACACAATGGCCAGTATTTAAAAAATGACCTATAATGTTCATAAAAAATGAGGGTACAAATGTTCAGGTAAAACTACTATAATATAGCAGTGGTTATTAAACAAATTTCAGGGATCCTCAGAAGCCTAACTTTGTGTGTTTTTTAAATTAATTTATTTGTTTTTAATTTTTATTTTAAGTTGGGGTACATGTGCAGGACATGCAGGTTTGTTACATAGGTAAACGTGTGCCATGGTGGTTTGCTGCACCTCCTACTTGTAAGTGAGAACATGTGGTATTTGGTTTTCTGTTCCTGTGTTAGTTTGCAGAGGATAATGGAGAAGCCCAGCTTTGAGTAGTAGCTCCCTAATCTGTTTTTGTTACTTTTGTATATAACACTGGTATTCTGATGAAATTTCATTTGAAAATTTGGTTATATTGTCATTTTTGAAAAGTATGTAAACCACAATTATAGAGTACTGTATTAACTTTTGCCCAGGTAAGTGAAGCACAGTAAGGGACTTGAGAAGTTCTGCTTTATAATATTTTTCATTTCTTCTGGGTTTGTCAGGATAAGTTATAACCTATGACAGGTATTTAATTTTTGAAAGAAAGGCGTTTGGCAGTAAATACATTATTACAGTGGGAGAGCTAACCATAAAATAGAGATCAAGGCTTAAAAAGGTAGGGAACTTTCCTTTATCCGTTTTTCTTTTTCTTTTTCTTTTTTTTTGAGACAAAGTCTTACTCTGTCACCCATGCTGGAGTGCAGTGGTGCGATCTCAGCTCACTCCAACCTCTGCCTCCCAGTTTCAAGCGATTCTCCTGCCTCAGCCTTCCGAGTAGCTGGGATTACAGGTGTGCGCCACTTTGCCCAGCTAGTTTTTGTATTTTTAGTAGAGATGGGGTTTCACCATGTTGGACGGCTGGTCTCAAAATCCTGACCTCAGGTGATCTGCTCACCTCAGCCTCCCAACATGCTGGGATTACAGGTGTGTGAGCCACTGTGCCTGGCCTTCATTTATCTGTTTTGTTAAAATGATATATGTCTTAGTTCAATTCAATTCAATTCAATTTAATTCAATTCAATAAACATTTATTGATATCTGTCGTATTCCCAAACATTGTAGGAAGGTGCTACATATGCAAATTAGGTCTTAGAGCAGCCTCAGAGAGCTCCAGGTTTGGTATGTTTTAATCATAAACTCATTATTTTTCTAGTTTAACTATAATGAGTAACAATTTTCTTTTGCAAAAAGGCAAGTAGCTTGGATGAGAGAAGACATACTCATTCTGGCTCATCAATTGACACTCAGTGTGAGGTTCTGTTCAGCTTTTCCCTTTCCTTCTTGTCTCTACACTTTCCCAATTCCCCGTTGCTTCTCTAGTTACTAGTTCATCTACTCCTGCTCCAATTCCTTATTATTATTATTATTTCTGAGACAGAGTCTTGCTCTGTCGCCCAAGCTGGAGTACAACGGTACAATTTTGGCTCACCACAACCTCTGCCTCCTGGGTTCAAGTGATTCTCGTGCCTCAGCCTCCCAAGTAGCTGGGACTACAGGCACATGACAACATACCCAACTACTTTTTATATTTTTAGTAGAGATGGGGGTTCGCCATGTTTGCCTGGCTTGCCAGTCTTGAACTGGTCAGGAGTCTTGAACTCCTGACTTCATGTGATCCACCTGCCTTGGCCTCCCAAAGTGCTGGGATTACAGGTCTGAGTCACCGCGCCCGTCCAATTCCTTATTATTTTAATGCAATAATTTTAAAAAGAGAAAAGTATATGTAAATTTCACAGTCGGATGGGAGTAATTGGTTTGCAAACTTGCCTAAAAGTGTTTGGGACTTTTCCTTTTAGAGAGGCAGAAGAGCATAGAGCATTCATTAAGAGTGAGGGATCTAGGTGGGACACGGTGGCTTACACTGTAATCCCAGCACTTTGGGTGGGCAAGGTGGGTAGATCACTTAAGGCCAGGAGTTTGAGACCAGCCTGGCCAACATGGTGAAATGCTGTATCTAGTAAAAATACAAAAATGAGCTGGGTGTGGTGGTGCGCACCTGTATTCCTAGCTACTTGGGAAGCTGAGGCACGAGAATCACTTGAACCTGCTGGGATGCGGAGGTTACAGTGAGCTGAGGTTGTGAGCCAAGATCGTGCCACTGCGCTCCAGCCCGAGCGACAGAGTGAGGCCCTGTTTCAAAAAAAAAAAAGAGTGAGGACTCTGGAGCTAGACTACTTAGGTTTGAATCCCTCCCATCTGCCACTCTTTAAGTCATTTCTTGTTGGGGAAAATCACTTAATCTCCTTGTGTTTCAGTTTACTCCTCTGTAAAATGGGGAGGATCACACTAGGACTCCTCTCATAGGGTCATTATGAAGATTCAATGTGTTAGTATTTGTAAAGCTCTTAGAGTGTTGCTCGGCACACAGTAAATGTTATATACATATATTTTATTATTCCTACTCATTTACCTTCTCACTTTTGTTTTTAGGATGTTCAACCTGATAAAGAAATTGTTGTGGACACGATAATGTTCCTATGGCAGAAATGCAAATTAGGAATTCAGCGGCTCAATATATCCAAAAATGACTATGCAAAATTCACCCAGAAAATCAGTACAAACAAAGTATTCCTTTTGCATTTCCTTTCACATATTTTTTGCTATTGCTAATTCAAGTTGCCATACACATTTCAAATCTAAGTTTTTCCTATTTTTCACCTGGTTAATGACTTTCATTTGCATATATACATATATAAAGAAGATATTCTTTCTAGTGCTGAGTGACCCTTTATTTTAATGTGTGTTCCCTGCACTCCTGTTCTAATTTTGTTTGTTGTGAGGTGTGAAGAGGTGTTTCAGGTCTTTTTTTTTTTTTTTGGCAGAGTCGTGCTCTGTCCTGGAGGCTGGAGTAGTACAGTGGCGTGATCTCGGCTCACTGTGACCTCTGCCTCCTGGGCTCAAGTGATCCTCCCCAGCTCAGCCTCTCTAGTGGCTGGGGCTACAGGCATACACCACCATGCCCAGCAATTTTGTTTTATTTTTTTGTGGATATGGGGTTTTACCATGTTGCCCAGGCTGGTCACAAAGTCCCGGGTTCAAGCAATCTGCTCATCTCAGCCTCCTAAAGTGTTTGGATTATTATAGGTATGAACCACCACACTTGGTCTTTTTAGGCTTTTTTTCTTTTTTTTTTTTTTAGATGGAGTCTTGCGCTGTCACGCAGGCTGGAGTGCAGTGGCACAATTTTGGCTAACTGCAACCTCTGCCTCCCGGGTTCAAGCAATTCTTCTGCCTCAGCCTCTGGAGTAGCTGAGATTACGGGCATCCACCACTATGGCCGGCTAATTTTTGTATTTTTAGTAGAGATGGGGTTTCACTATCTTGGCCAGGCTGGTCTTGAACTCCTGACCTCGTGATCTACCTGCTTTGGTCTCCCAAAGTGCTGGGATTACAAGTGCGAGCCCCTGTACCTGGCCTCAAGCTTTTAAGTGAAGAATAAATATAGTATGGGCCAGGCACAGGGGCTCATACCTGTAATCCCAGAACTTTGGGAGACCGAGGCAGGTGGATCACCTGAGGTCAGGAGTTCGAGACCAGCCTGGTCAACATGGTGAAACCCTGTTTCTACTAAAAATACAAAAATTAGCCAGACATGTTGGTGTGTGCCTGCATTCCCAGCTACTCGGGAGGCTGAGGCAGGAGGATTGCTTGAACCCAGGAGGCGGAAGTTGCAGTGAGCTGAGATCACCCCATTGCATTCCAGCCTGGGCAACAGAGTGAAACTCCATCTCAAAAAAATAAATAAATAAAAATAAAAAATAAATATAGTGTATCTGAGGTCATATAACCTTGGTTAAATTCAAAAAGAAGATTAATAATAGAGAATACAGAGAAGTAAGAGTGTCAGGTTTTCTCCGTCCTGCAATAATATATTTAGACTATTTAAAAGAGCTACTTTATAGGAGGGAGAAGGGTGTGCATTTGAATATTATTACCTGGAAACTTAGGAGAAAAGATTTTAGTAATTACAAATATCGTAGCTTTGGTAATTTGGAAGCTGCATAAGATTAGCTACATTAGTATGCATAGGTGTGATTTTTGTCATGTACCCTGTTAAGTAATAATGTGAGTACATAAATACCATTTTATCATCTCAGGTCCCAAAATGTGATAGTTGGTTTTATGTGCTAAGCTTTGGGGATACAGGCATGAAAGACAATTTCTTTCTCTCTCTCTCTTTTTTTGTTTCGAGACAGAGACTCGCTGTTTCACCCAGGCTGGAGTGCAGAGGCACGATCCTCACCCACTGCAATCTCCACCTCTCGGGTTCAAGCGATTCTCCTGCCTCAGCCTTCAGAGTAGCTGGGATTACAGGTGTGCACCACCACGCTGGCTACTTTTTGTATTTTTAATAGAGACGGGGTTTCACCATATAGACCAGGCTCATCTCGAATTCCTGACCTCAAGTGATCCACCCGCCTCAGCCTCTCAAAGTGCTGGGATTACAGGCGTGAGCCACCATGCCCGGCCATGAAAGACAATCTAAGGCACCTGATGTGGAGCCTGAAACACCTACTTCCCCCTCACTCATAAGGAGGATGTTGATAGTAATCATAATAGCTGCTTTGAATGGACAGTGAGAACTTTTGAGGATACAGATACTATTCACTGATACGTACAAATAACAGATCATAAATTTCCCATGATGGCTATAGATGTGCAGAATCCAAACTTAAATGAATCTACTTTATGAATTTATATAAACAGATTGATTACTAAATATCATTTTAAAAGGATTACTGAGTTTTATTTATAATTAAGACATTAATAAAGAGGGGTACCTGTGTAATATTTCCATATGATTAGAACATTGTTTTTTTTCAAGGAAGTATAAGTTTTGAAAAATGTGACTATTTGTACAGTTTTATATACTCTTAATTGATTTTGCTGAGTATTTTCTCTTTTTAGTGGATTTATCTTCTGTGGCAGATAAATGAAGTAATTCACTGCTCTAAAATGGAAGACATTGACATTGTGGTAGTGGCAGAAGTCACATTACGGTTAAGTGAAATATTGGAATCTTTAGGAAGCCCAGGAAGAAAATTTAAACAATCTCTAGGTAAAATGTTGGCTGAAAAATTGTATACATATGTAAATACCATGTATATAGGTATGATACCAAATACAGGATAACTTCTACTAATGGAAACTAGGCACTTTAATGTTATGCTTCATTGAGGATTTATAATTAGAGATAGATAATAATATAGTTTCATCCAGTGGATGTTAGGAAGGTTTCATGCTCTCTGGTTCAATGAGGGACAAAACCCTTTTTGTTGCCGGGCGCGGTGGCTCACGCCTGTAATCCCAGCACTTTGGTAGGCTGAGGCAGGCGGATCACCTGAGGTCAGGAGTTCAAGACCAGCCTGACCAACATGGAGAAACCCCTTCTCTACTAAAAATACAAAATTAGCTGGGCGTGGTGGCACATGCTTATAATCCCAGCTACTAGGGAGGCTGAGGCAGGAGAATTGCTTGAACCTGGGAGGCGGAGGTTGCGGTGAGCCGAGATCGTGCCATTGCACTCCAGCCTGGGCAACAAGAGTGAAACTCCGTCTCAGAAAAAAAAACACAAACCCTTTTTGTCTTCTCATATTCCTTTTCTCTCCTTTTCTCTGTTCCTAATTGCTACCTACTCCCCTTTACTCCCCTCTCTTTCTTTCTTTTTTTCCTTTCTCTGTCTTTTTTATTTTTTTGAGATGGAGTTTTGCTCTGTCACCCAGGCTGGAGTGCAGTGGCACAATCTCAGCTCACTGCAAGCTCCACCTCCCAGGTTCAAGCGATTCTCCCACCTCAGCCTCCCGAGTAGCTGGGATTACAGGTGCCCGCCATCATGCCTGGCTAATTTTTGTATTTTTAGTAGAGACAGGGTTTCACTATGTTGGCCACACTGCTTTCAAACTTCTGACCTCAAGTGATCCACCTGCCCTGGCCTCCCAAAGGTTTGGGATTGCAGATGTGAGCCACTGCACCTGGCCACCTCTCTTCTCTTTTATCTTCCTTTGTTTTCCTCCCCTTCCATTTCCCATAAGAGTGAATGCTTGAAGGAAGGTTCTGTTTTGGACACTGTCTCATTCTTGGCACTCACCACATCACCTGACACAGTGTAGGAGATCAAGTAAGTACTTGTTGAATGGATCAGTGTCATTCTACTTTCTATCTCCTTTTTTATTTTCTTTCTTCTAATTCCTTTCTCTTAAAATTCTTTCTTCATTTATTGTTTCTCCTCTACTTTCTCTCTTCTTATCCTTATCATCTTTCTCTTTTTGCTTTCATTTCCTAGTCCCCCAGCCCCCATTCTTCCTGTCTCAACGCCTTTTTCTTCTCCTTCATTCTCTTCTCCATTCAGGAGATGTCTTCTCTCAAAGGATGGCCTTCTGCTCTGACCTCCTTGTTCTTTGTTCTGCCTCTGGTTGCAGCCCTGTACTGTATTTAATGGAGTGGGGATTAATGTGGAGGGCTCCATAGAGGGTATTTACTTTGCTGTTTCACCCCACTTATAGAGCATGTATGACATCTGGAGGACTCCGTAATAAAGTTATTGTTTACTCGGAGATTCACTAATCTGGCTCTGCCTGTCTTCCGCTGTTGAGTGTGGCTTTTCAGATGGAGTTTTAGAGCCATGGTTCTCAAATTTTGATTGTTATCAATATCACCTGAAAGGTTGTTAAAAACGTAAGGCCCAAGCTCTGTCCTACTTCAGCTAGCCTGGACCTTCTCAGTCTTTATTCGTTTCCCAGGTGAATTTGATATAGATCGAAGTTTGACAACCATCAGTTAAAAGTTTCTTGCCATCGAACACATTCATTGGCCTCAGGTCGTATTTCTGAAATGTCCTGGCTGGAAATGCTTTTTTTTCCTTTTAAAAACTTTTGTTATGCAGAACTTTAAATATAGAGAGAAAAAATAAATCACCATTATGCATCATCCAGCACCAATAATTATCAACATCTTTTTCAATCTTATTTCATCTCTCCCTGCAATATTTCCCCCTCTATGAGTATTTTAAAACAGATATGTAATTTTTCCAGCAAATACCACCCCACCGTATGTATGTATGTGTATCCAACTATTTATCTAACAGATAAGGATTTTTTTTTTAACATAAAACCACAGTGCTGTTATTATATCTTACAAAATGGAGAATAATTCCCATGTCCCTGATTGTATTCAAAAATATCTTTTAAAGTTGGTTTGTTCCAATCAGAATCCAAACAAGGCCCACACATTGTATTTTCTTGACATGTCTCTTAAATCTCTATAATCTCTAATGGTTTCTCTCCTTCCTACTCCCCTTTCGAGACATTTATCTTTTGAAGAAACTGAGTCATTATCCTGTGGGATTTTCCACATTCTGGATTTGGCTATTTCCCTCCATGTGATGTTGGTTAACTTGCTTCTCACCTGGTAGTTAGATCTGGATGCTTACTTAGAGTCTGGTGATACTTTGTTAAGAAGAATTCTTGCCAATTGTCTTATTTTTCAGCAACAGTACTTCATAGGTAGTGCTATTTACTCCCTTGCATTGAATCAGGAGGCACACCATGCCTAGTTATCCCACTTTCTGTGCTATAAAGATTTATCTGTGAGTTCAGGTCTAGGTTGGTTCCCCAGAAGCAGGTTCTGAGATAATGATTTGAGTGAAGTAGTTTATTTGGGACTTTATCCAGGGAAGCACAGTGGAGAAGTGAGACAGGGGAGGAAAGGAAGCGCCAGGTAATGCACCGTAAGTTAATGAGAAGGCTGCTGTTGTGAGTGCAGGGCCTATTCCCATGAGGGACCTCTAGGAGCCCATATAGAACAAATACAATGAAGTTGTATTTCTACAGATTTTATCTGCCATTGGTAGAGGGCTGTTAGGAGACTGGGGGTAAGAAGCCAGGAGGGACTCCTAACTTCTCTCATTCCTTTTGCATTTATTACACTGCAGTCTTCAATGAAGAACTTACTTCATCACCTGTTTGGCTAGTCTGATTATTTTTGAGTATGTAATGGACATTATTATTTCTAAATATTTTGTAGAAATAATTGAGGCTTTGGATGATGTTTTTCTAGGGAAGATTTATGCTTGCTTTTAAAACTAGATGCATGAAGGCACTAATACTCTAGGATCCCATTATTCCAGTTTGAGGGATTAAGATATTTTGAAGATGAAATGCTTTCTCCTTGAAGATCTATTTCCAGTTCACCCTAACTTCTTTTGCTTCTCATCCTTGGTGGGCCCTGGATACCAATCCCTGTTGCTTTTCTCTCAAGGCTATCAGAGGTATCACTCAGTTTCTCAGCTTCTCTCTCCAGAGTTGACATAAGCCCCAGTGGGAAAAGTAGCTCTGATGTGTTCTATACTTTCTGTCCTCCCTTTCCAAGATTCAGATGTGACTCTGTGATACTATGATATATATATATATCTATGCAGTTGACCCTTGAACAATATGAGGGTTAGGGGCACCCATCCTAAATCCATGTTTTGGCTCCTCCAAAACTTAACTCTGATAGCCTGCTGTGGACTGGAAACCTTCCCAATAACATAAACCATCAATGAACACATGTATTTTGTATGCTATATATATAAAAATAATTATTTTTGTTCACAGTTCCTGGCTCATGACTCCCATAGTTCTCATTTCCTAAGTGACTAAAACAACAAGCATACCTTTTGTTCAAGAGTGGCTTTTTGTCCTTGGTTCCTGAAGTAGTTTCAGATCAGCTTTGGAGCATTAAAAGTGAAAGAGAGTCTTTTGTTATAATGTTAGGGCACATTAGGCCTCAGAAGCAGACTTCAGAAAACAATCTCTCTCTTTCTCTCTCTGACTTTCTACTTTCCTCCTTTCACCTGGTCCTTTTTCTCTCCAAGGATGGCCATAGAAACTGAAAATATAATCTTCTCCTGCCTCTCTGTCTTGGAGTTGATCATAAAGAAATTCTCTGACCTACCTTGTCTGACTGTAGGACATAAGACTCATTTCAGAAGGGGTCCTGCCCCATACCCCGGAGGAAGGTATGTGGCACAGCAAGGCCAAGAAGAATCTGAACAGACAGGCCTTGCTGGGTATCTTAGTCCATTTTCTGTTGCTTATAACAGAATACCCGAAACTGAGTAATTTATAAAGAAAAGGACCTTATTTCTTACAGTTGTGGAGGCTGAGAAATGCAAAGTCTAGGGGCTTCATCTGGTGAGGGCTTTCTTACTCATGGAGACTTTCTGCAGTGTCTGAGGTGGTGCAGGGCATCAATGATAGGGGGCTGAGGAAGCTACCTCAGGAATCTCTTCCTTTTCTTTTTTTTTTTTTTTCCTTTGAGACAGAGTCTCACTCTTTCACCTAGGCTGGAGTGCGGTGGCACGATCTTGGCTCACTGCAGCCTCCGCCTCCTGGGTTCAAGTGATTCTCTCGCCTCAGCCTCCCGAGTAGCTGGGATTACAGGCATGAGCCACCACGCCAGCTAATTTTTTTTTGTATTTTTAGTAGAGACAGAGTTTCACCATGTTGGCCAGGCTGGTCTTGAATTCCTGACCTCAGGTGATCCACCCGCCTCGGCCTCCCAAAGTGCTGAGATTACAGGTATGAGCCACTGCACCCGACCTCTTCCTCTTCTTATAAAGTCACCAGTCCAGTCGGGGTGGGGGGTTAGGGGAAGGATAGCATTAGGAGAAATACCTAATATAGATAATGGGTTGATGGGTGCAGCAAACCACCGTGGCACGTGTATACCTATGTAACCTGCACGTCCTGCACATGTATCCCAGAACTTAAAGTATAATAAATTAAAAAAAGATACAAAACTCTGAAATGACATAAAACAGGACCAGTAAGTAAAATATGAGTGAGTGTAAGGTATTTTTTTAAAAATAAACTTAATATATTTCCAGAAAAAAAAAATAAAGTCACCAGTCCCACTCCCATGATAACTCATCAATCCATTAACCTGTTAATCCATTAGTCTATGAATGAGTTAGCCTATTCATGTGAGGAGAGTCCTCGTGACCCAGTCATCTCTTATGGGATCCATCTCTCAATACTACCACATTGAGGATTAAATTTCAACATGAGTTTGGAGGAGACAAATATTCAAATCATAGCAATGGGCTTCTAAAGGGTATTAGATCATACCCTTTTTGTCCAATCACATTTCTGCACAGCTGTACATCCCTCAATTTATGCATATCTAATGAAGTCTCCAGAAAAGGTCCATGAGGACATGGTGTAGAGAACTTCTGGATAGCTGAGCACTTGGAGGTTCCTGGGGGGTGGTGGTCCTGAGAGGGCAAGGAAGTGCCATGCCCCTTCCTTTATGCCTTGTGCTATGTATCTCTTTATCTGTCTCCTTTGTAATAACCTTTATGATAAAATGATAAACATAACTGTTTCCCTGAGTTCTGTGAGCCACTCTTGCAAATTAATCAGACCCAGGAAGGGGACCATGGGAACCTTAGTTTGTAGCCAGTTGGTCAGAAGCACAGGTAAAACCAGCTGGGGCTTATGGTCAGCTTTGGAAGCAGGGAGCAGGGTAGGGGTAAGCAGCAGTCTCATGGGACTGAGTCCTCAATCTGTGTGATCTGACTCTATCTGCAAGGTAGTGTTGCAAGTGAACAGGGTTGGAGAATACCCAGCTGGTGTCCACTGCAGAATTGGTTGCATGTTTGGTATGTGGGGACCCCCCCCACTCCACATTTGGTCACAGAAATCTGTGTTGATTGTTGTGGCATGAGAACAGGGAAAAATTGTTTTTTTCCTCCACACTTCCTTCCTAAGATCCTGGCCATGGATGTATGTATGTATGTATGTATGTATGTATGTATGTATGTATTTATTTTCACCATCTTCTTAGCTTGTAGATTAAAAAATATATAGTTTCCAGCTTTTCTTCAGCCAAGAGAATTTTTCTACATCATCCATTACTGGTTACTTTTTAAAAATGTCTATTTCTGGCCGGCCACAGTGGCTCATGCCTATAATCCCAGCACTTTGGTAGGCTGAGCCAGGTGGATCACATGAGGTCAGGAGTTCAAGACCAGCATGGCCAACATGGTGAAACCCTGCTTCTACTAAAAATACAAAAATTAGCCAAGCATGGTGGCATGTGCCTTTAGTCCCAGCTGCTCGGGAGACTGAGGCAGGAGAATCACCTGAACCTGGGAGGTGGAGGTTACAGTGAGCCGAGATCACACCACTGCACTCTAGCCTGGGCAACAGAGTGGGACTCCATCTCAAAAAACACCAAACAAACAAACAAAAAAAGAAGTCTATTTCTTACTTAATGTTATTGTTTTATTTACTAGTTACTGTGGGGGAGATTATTGTTTTATATCATTATAAATGGGCTAAATAAAATTTAGGTTATTGATTCTTTGTCAACATGTTTCATTTCTGAAGAGCTAATCAATATTGGAGCATAATCCATTTATACATTTGAAAATTTCTATATTTATGTAATGAGAGGTTGTCCCCATTTAGATATATAAATTCTTATAACTTCTAAGAATGTTATTCTTAGCACCTTGTTGCCACATAAAACATAAAGCACAAGTCTTCTCTGATATTTGTCCAAATTGATGACGTTTCTATGCTGTTATTTTCTGAAAACTTATTTATTTATTTATTTATTTATATTTTGAGATGAAGTCTTGCTCTGTCGCCCAGGCTGGAGTGACAGTGGCTTGATCTTGGCTCACTGCAACCTCTGCCTTCTGGGTTCAAGCAGTTCTCCTGCCTCAGCACCCCCTAGTAGCTGGGATTACAGGCATGTGCCACCACGCCTGGCTAATTTTTGTATTTTTAGTAGAGGTGGGGTTTCATCATGTTGGCCAGGCTGGTCTTGAACTCCTGACCTCAGGTGATCTACTTGCCTCGGCCTCCCAAAGTGCTGGGATTACAGGTGTAAGCCGCTGCACCTGGCCTCTGAAAGATTTTAAATGGACCTTATAGAATACAGAGAAAGATGATATTGATTTGTTGATATATATTTGATTTGGTTTGTTACAAGTTTTTAAAAAAATTACCTTATAGAAGAATAAAATTTAATTACATGGAGTAAATAATTTAGTGCTTAGTCACATTCTAGTGTGAATCATTTCTAAGATTATGGGTAATTAAAAAGTAATTAATTTAGCATAAAGTTTTTTATGATTATGATTCACTGCTATATTTCCATTTTTCTCTTTCCTCCTTTTTATTCCTCTGGTCCTTCCTTCTTTTGTTTCCTCCTCGCTCTTGCCTTGTCCTCTTCCTCTTCTTACTTTTCCTTTTTTTTTCATCTCCTCTTTTTCCTTCCCTGCCATCCTTCGTTGCCTTCATCTTTTCTTTCTTTTCCAGACGTACCTTTAAGAGAAGGGACTAATGAATTCCATGGAGCTCCAAAAGGGACCACAAGAATTCTTCCAATATTACAGGTATTACTACATATTTAGAAAATTTAGGTGAAACATGAATTTTTATTTTCAAACAATATTAAATTTGTAAATGCATAATGGTTAATTGTAGAAATAATTTTGAATATTTAAAATTTGAGGATTATATGGTTTTATATATTGAGAACTATAGGGACATTTTTCTACCTTTTATGAAGAATATTGTAATGAAGCCCCATTATAATTTACTATTTCCTCATATGCTAGCTTAAGAAACAAAATATTACTAGTATAGATAAAACTCACCTTCTCTGCTAACCTCTCTTGATCACCTTGCCTTTCCCCTACCTAGGAGTAACCCCTGTCCTCAATAATAATGTCTTCAAGATATTTGTATAAAAGATATTTATATAATACAGAGATGTAAATGACTTTTCTTGACTTTTAATAACATGCCACCACCCCTCACATTTATATTTGGGAGCCCTCTGAAATATAAGAATAAGTGCTAATTTTAAAAGTGTTATTTTATCTATTCTCTTCCATACTTGATATAATAGATAAAGTCTTAAGAAATGGTACCAATCAAATGCCATCATGAATGTACAGGAGGACTGTGGGGTCATTCTGAATTTACTTTCCAAATGCATGTTCCTCTTCTAATGCTAAGTTTCAGGGGATGCAAACTGCGTACTTTATGCTGTCTTGTGTCTTCTGAAGAGAGCTAGATTTGAGAAATCTTAAATTGAGAACAGAGACTGACTTGCATAAGAGATATGAGGTGGCATAATAGCTGTCTGCCAATGTTTTTCCCAGGGATCACTCACAGTGTCTGCTAAGTATGCAGCTTCCTATTTCTCACTCCAGACATGTTGTGAGATTCTTAAAAGTTCCTCCGGTAGATTTTTTTTTTTTTTTTTTTTTGGAGGCAGAGCCTTGCTCTGTTGCCCAGGCTGGAGTGCAGTGGTGCGATCTCAGCTCACTGCAACCGCTGCCTCCCGGGTTCAAGCGAGTCTCCTGACTCAGCCTCCCAAGTAGCTGGGACTACAGGTGTGTGCCACCACACCTGGCTAATTTTTTGTATTTTTAGTGGAGATGGGGTTTCACCATGTTAGCCAGGATGGTCTCGATCTCCTGACCTCGTGATCTGCCCACTTCAGCCTCCCAACGTGCTGGGATTACAGGTGTGAGCCATTGCGCCCAGCCTCTCTGGTAGATTTTTAAGGACATTAGAGTTTGAGAATCACTGGCTTATGGGCTAGCACTTATTCTCTGAGGCAGAGTAGGGCAGATATAGAAATCCTACTCATAGGTACAGAGTGCTAGATTTTGCCTTGAGAGAGAAATTTTCTGGCAATTAAAACCACCATAAGAAATGGATTTCTTTTAAGGTGGCAATTTTCCCACAACAAAGAAACAAGAGACCATTTATGAACTTTTGATATTATTATTTAAACAAGAAAAATGTACCCTCTCTGAAAGATGATTTATTACCATCTGCTGGGAAATCGTCAAAATAAATACAGAGAAGTCTGTGATGACAACAGTGTGAATTGTACCCCCTAAAGTTATGCAATACACAATCTGCTCAGCTGTACTGTGCATATGGTAGACCTAGTTTCTTTGGCATGGTCGAAGAGCGCAGCATTTGGTGTGGAAACCTGTGGTTGAGTTCGGACTCTGATATTGACTATTTGTGTGATTCTGAATGAATTATTTTGTCTTTTTGAGTATAAGTGTCCTCATCTGGAAAATTATAATAGTACCTATTCCACTGAGTTGTTATATAGTTTAAATGAGATATTTGTAATATGGAAACTAGTACCTGGCACATGCTAGCTGCTGTTTTTTTGTTATGTCTTATGTAAAGCACTGAATCTCAACTTAGGGTTTTTGACTCACTGAAAAGGGAATGGAGTTGGGGGGAAAAATGACAGTTTATTGTAAGGAGAATCCACAATTCATATGTTCACCCAGCAGAATCTGTAGGTGGGATAAATTATATAACTTGCATATATACATGCTACTATTTAAAAATGTATGAGACGCTATTGTGATTAAATGAAAGAAAACTTATTTTAAAGTTTTGCTGAACACAGAGCATTTCTTTCTTCAACAAATGAGTTATAAAATTATAACTAGTTTGTATCTACCTTATACTGGGCTATGTCAACTAAAAGATTTTTAGTAAAACATTTAGCCCTATACCTGGAGCATGTTTTAGTTAAATGTTGACTGTAATGAGGATGATGAAGATCATAATGATGAAGATGGTGGTGGTAGTGATGGTGATGATGATGATGATAGAATGTGAGTGTGTGGAGTCTTCAAAATTTTTTGATGTTCAAAAGATATCCTGGCTGGGCACGGAGGTTCACACCTGTAATCCCAGCACTTTGGGAGGCCGAGGTGGGCAGATCACTTAATATCAGAAGTTTGACACCAGCCTGGCAAACATGGCAAAACCCTGTCTTTACTAAAAATACAAAAATTAGCCAGGCGTTGTGGTGCCTGCCTGTAGTCCCAGCTACTTGGGAGGCTGAGGTGCAAGAATCACTTGAACCTGGGAGGCGGAGGTTGCAGTGAGCTGAGGTTGCACCACTGCACTCCAGCATGGGCAACGAAGTGAGACTCTGTCTCTCTCTCTCTCTATATATATACACATATATATATATCCTTATATATATATATAAGGATATCTTTAGAGACTTCTGTTTCTAGCAAAATGGCAAGATGACTTGAACATCCTCCTGGGAGAAAACACTTAGAGATTTTGAACTGATTTGAACAAATATCCTCAAGCATGTTGCAGAGCTCATGAGAAAGTAAGGTAAATCCCAGGGGCCAAAATAGAAAAGGGAACTGAAAACTAGCATGGTAAGTTTATGAGTGGATGCTGCAGTAGGTTGATGGGCACAGTTATTATACAAAGATGCTTAGTTTTTGACAACCATCCAGGGACGAGAGATGAGGCTTGGGCACATGAAAGATGGGAGTTAGAAAGGAGACTTGTACATAAAGTTAGAACCTACAAAGATTATATCCTAGGAAAAGGTAGACTAGGAAAAAATCTCTGGCCTGGGGGTGGTGGCTCACTCCTTTTATCCTAGCCCTTTGGGGAGGCCAAGGTGGGTGGATCGCTTGAGCCCAGAAGATTGAGACCAGCCGGGGCAATATGGTGAAACCATGACTCTGCAAAAAAAATATAAAAATTAGCTGGGTGTGATGGCATGTGCCTGTAGTCCCAGCTACTTGGGAGGCTGAGGTGGGAGGATCACCTGAGTCTGGGAAATCAAGGCTGCAGTGAGCCAAGATCGTGCCACTGCACTCTATTCTAGGCTGGAGTGAGACCCTGTTGCATAACAAAACAAGACAAGACAAAAAACCCTCCCCAAAACCAAAAAATCCTGCCTCTGCCTATGTATATAAGGAGATACCTCAACTTGGGTAGTGAGAAGAGGAGTGGATAGGAGAAAATTCCTCCTCCTAATGATTTATAATCTTGGGACCTGCCCTCAAGTAGGTTTTTAATTTGAATTTACACTACTTGGGTTACTTAAGAACCTTCCTGAGCCTGCAATTCTTGAATGTGTGTGTGTGTGTGTTTGCGTGTGTGTGTGTGTGTGTGTATGTATGTATCGTGTAAAATTGTTTATATTCTAGGAATGCCAGGATGATTTAACACTAGAAATATATAGTGCAATACACTGCATTAGCTGATGAAAGGAAAACATGTGACTGCTTCACTTAGACAAAGAGACGCAAAAAAAGCATTTGATAATATTCAACAACCATCTTCTTTAAAAGCAACCATCCTTAAAAAAATAACTCTTAGTACTTAGGAATATACAAGAACCTCTGTATCTAATAAAGGGTGTCATCCAAAGACCTTGAGTAAATGCTATACCTATGGTAAAAGATTAAAAGCAGCCCTTTAATAGTGGTGTAACCACATAAAGATATCTGTCATTCTTCTGTTCAGCATGTCCTGGAAGTCTTAGACAGATAAGTAAAAAAAGAAAGCAGAAAAAAGGTGTAAGAACTGTAAAGAAAGTATCAACTTTGGGCTGGGCGTGGTGGCTCACGCCTGTAATCCCAGCACTTTTGGAGGCTGACGCGGGTGGATCACCTGAGGTCAGGAGTTCGAGACAAGCCTGACTTATATGGAGAAGCCCCGTGTCTACTAAAAATACAAAATTAGCTGGGTGTGGTGGCGCATGCCTGTTATTCCAGCTACTTGGGAGGCTAAGGCAGGAGAATTGCTTGAACCTGGGAGGTGGAAGTTGCAGTGAGCTGAGATCATGCCATTGCACTCCAGTCTGGGCAACAAGAGTGTAACTACATCTCAAAAAAATAAAAAAATAAAAAAGAAATTATCAACTTTGTGCTTATTCACAGACAAGTACAATACATTGCAGCATATTTAGTAATAGTAATCTTTTTTGTTGTTGTTTTTTGAAACAGGGTCTCACTCTGTCACCCAGGCTGGAGTGCAGTGGCATGATCAGGGCTCACTGCAGCCTCCACCTCCCGGGTTGAAGTGATTTGCATGCCTCAGTCTCCCAAGTAGCTGGCACTACAGGTCCTCACCATCATGTCCGACTAATTTTTGTATTTTTTGGTAGAGACATGGTTTCAGAGTGTTGACCAGGCTGGTCTTGAACTCCTGACTTCAGGTGATCCGCCTGCCTTGGCCTCCCCAAGTGCTGGGGTTACAGGCGTGAGCCACTGCTCCTGGCCTTAGAAATAGTAATCTAAATGTCCATTGGCAGAAGAGTGGATAAATTGTGATATATTCCTCCAAGTAATACCATTTCATTGTAGCTATGAGGATGAATAAACTGGAGTAGGCTTGTACTAAAGTAAACTTGGCATCATTGCAATTCCCTTCTATAATTACCTTCACATTATAGGGGGGAAACCTGGAACTATATTTCCAGTGTCTCATTTCTGTACAGTTTTAAATTAGTCTTCCAATGAGGGGCATTTGCATGAATCTGTAATGCAGAAGAGAAGAGATAGTTCTTAATCCACAGTGTCAGATGGATGATATGAGTTTACCAGGCATGCTGAGCAAACTCTTGGAATTCACCTGCTTCAGTGTAATAGGTGCTTGAGGTTGTTGTCAGCTACCTTCTAGAGTCTTAGGTTCACAGAGGCTTCTGAGCAAACTCTTGAGAATCATATGAAGCAAAATTGTCACTGGCACCTTTCTTGATCTTGACTCTTCCATGCCTTGCAATGGTGATGAACACCTCTAATTCTGTGTATTAAGTCTTCTTTTGCTTGAAATATGTAGAGTAGTTTTGCATTCATAACCAATCCCTGACTGACCCATTGAGTTACATATACCAGCAGGAATAAGTTTCAACAACATATGGTTGAGTTTTAAAAGGAGCCTACAGAATTTTATAAGAAAGATTTAAAAATATGCAAAGTGATATTGCATATGGTTAAGGATACATATACATGTAGTAAAAGTTTAAAAACATGCAAAAATAGTAAAACCAAATTCAAGGACAGTGGCTACCTCTCAGAGGAGTGGCACTGTGGACAGTTATATAGGGGATTTAAATTACATGCATATATCTGTATGCTTTATTTCCCTAAAAAATCTGGAAAAATATGGAAAATTTGAAAGTTTGGGCAAAACTGGTTGCTTTTTATATTATTCTCTATATTTGCCTCTCTGTGAGAATGATTACATTAAAAAGCATTTAGTTTTTGAAAATCATTATGTAGACTAATATAGACTGTTGGGTTGATGGACTCTAAATTTCTAGTCTGAGATTCTGAAATTGTTTTTAAAAATGCTTTTCAAATTAGATATGTGAAAGTGACAAACTATGTGAACTCTGTTTTAAAAATTTACCTGTATTTGGTACAATCAGAATTTTGCAAACCATAAGTGGAAGTTATATGTATTAATACATGTTTGTGAAAGGCTTAATTTGTATCTGGAAAAATGGTGAAATTTATTTATTATTTTCACCCATATTGATAGCACTCTACATGTAGTCACAGATAAATACATTTACTTAGAAACATAAGATTGTTAATGTTAGATAGACTATTTAAATTTCTGTTATATGGTTTTGAATTATTGTCAAAAATTGGAAATGTTGCATTTGATTTTCCCTTAAGTTTTATTTTTCTTTTTTGTTTATAAAATAATTTTAGAAAAATCCTGTGGAACAGTTACTTTTTGCTTATAAACTTCTTGACAAAGCAATCGGTGGAATAAATTTGAATTGCATGTTAACCTCTTTGCCAAATGGATCATCAGTAATTGACCACTGCTATGCCAAGGTAAGAATAGAAAAGTCTTAAATTAGATTGAAGTTTTACTTAACTGGGAAGAGGACTGGCCTTGAAAGTAGGTAATTAAAGCATGACTCGTAGTGGCTTACCTCTCATAGGCCAGAAATATATTTCCCTCTTCCCAGAAGAGATCTAGGAGAGTGAGGAGTCTTTGAATTTGTTAATGAAGAGGACACTGATGAATTCTAAGGGCATATTTATTAGTGTTTAAGCTAACTGCAAAGGGCTAAGAAGTGAGCAGGATGTAATGGTTAAAAATAAGATGATGATAACTTGAGTGATAATAGTATACAGCTGTTTTTGTGTGTTTTGATAACCATATTTCTTTTTGTTTCAACTCTGTTGGACCAAAGCGTACCCACCATATAGATGGAGATACTTACAAACCACTTGCCTCAAATAGTTTCGTGATGGATTTGCATCTTGAACTAATTCAAGCTCAGCATCGAATAGCTGTTGTGCTTCTGGACAAATTGCAAGGTAGTAGTCATTAAAGCAAGTAACTATTCTGAATCAATTTTAAGTCAGACTCCAGTATAGAATCAATTTAATTTGAAAACTGTGTTCTTGTCGACTGACATTTTCAGATAAATTTCATTTTTTTCTACTTTCCTAATTAATATCAATAAAAACATGATTAAATCTTTCCTTATTGCTTTACACTTTGCATATTAAATCAGTTAGTTTTTAAGAAGATCTTAAAAAGTTTAATTAATTATGTTTGTTTGTGTTATAGTAAATTAAGTTTTGTTAATTCAACCAAGCAAATATTTATTGAGTACCTACTAAAATCCAGGCATCATATTAGGCTAGGTACAAATAAGACAGTCTCTACTTTTGAGCTTCTAGATAAGTAAGCCAACTATATCAGTTGAGATTGATACATTTTGTAATAGGGGTGGGCTCAAAGTATTACGGGCACACAGAAATATCTATACCAAATAAGAAAGTCAGGGATGAGTTCCTGGAAGGGATGTGTAAAGCATTCAAATCATATTGTATGTAGAGCTACATAGATTTATTCAAATCCTGGTTAATTTAAGAGTGGGCAATGTAGACACACTGCTGATTAGTGTAGGAAGATGAAAAAATATTTATACTGAATTCTAGCCAATGCAAGAAGATAAGAAAAATAAAGATATAAGGATTAGAAAAGAAGAAACAAAACTGTTATTTCCAGATTATGGTGATTGTCTACCTAGAAAATGCAAAAGAAACTATCAGTATGAACAAAAATAATAATATATAATATATAACGTGTAATATATAATATGTAATTTCTATAGGACAGCAACAAGCAGTTAGCAAATATAATAAAAAGACAACTTTTTTAATCAATAAAAACTGTAAGGTACCAAGGGATCCAATCTAACCAAAGAGCTACAAGTATGCAAAAAATTTTAAGACTTTACTGAAAAATGTTAAAGAACAATATAAATGAAGGTAGATTATGTTTATTGATAAGAAGACCAAATAATCAGAAAGATTATTCTGATTTCAGTTTTCTTCAAATAGATCTATAGACTCAATGCAGTTTCAATAAAAATTCCAGTAGGTTTTTTTTTTGGTAGATCTTTACAATCTTTTTACAAAATGTAGGTAGAAGACATAAATAGCTAAGACATTCCTGAAGGAAAAAAAATCAGGTGAGTGTAGGGGATCTTGCTCTAATGTAATTCCAGGTTTATTTCACAGTGATAGAATACCTCATATTCATTGGATAATTGGATATCCATATGGATAAAACCAAATTAACTGTGGTAAACTGTTCCCTCCAACTTTTTGTTTAACAATTTTTGAGCCTTCAGTAAGTTGAAAGAATAGTGTAGTGACCATCCACATAACCTTCACCTAAATCTACCGATCACGACATTTTGCCACATTTATTGTCTTTCTCTTTACATGCACATATAAATACATATATTTGTATATCTATGTATATACATCTATAGATGTATATACCTATGATATCAATATATTATGTATGTGTAGAGATATATACATATACATGCACATATCCATACGCTGAGAAGTCGCAGACATTATGATATATTTTAGCCCTGAAAACTTTAGTATTTATCACCTAATGATGAGGGCATTCTCTCAAATAACCATAATACCATTATCACTCTGAAGAAAGGTAACACTGATACAAAATATTATTGATTATACAGTCAATTATTTTTCAGTATCCAATTGATCATTTGTTTACTTTTATGTAATATGATTTTGGTGTCTTGTCTAAGAACTCCTTACCTAACCCCAGATCATGAAGATTTTCTTACATTTTCTTCTAAATGTTTTATAGTTTTACATTTTTAATTGGCATATAGTAATTGTACATATTTATGGGATACATGCAGAATTTAGCATGTGCATACAATGTACAAAACTCAACCCAGGGTAATTAGAATATTTATCATCTCAAACATTTATCAGTTATTTGTGTTGAGAACATCTCAAATCTTCTAGCTATTTTGAAATGTAAGATAAATTATTGTTAACTATAGCCACCCTATTGTCCTATTGAACACTAGAACTTTCTTCTTCTATTTAACAATATGTTTGTACTCATTAAGCAATCTCTCATTATCCCCCCACCCCCAATCCCTTCCCAGCCTCTGGTAACTGTCTTTCGACTCTCTACCTCCATGAGATAAACTTTATTTTTTAGCTCTCACATATGTCTGAGAACATGCTCTATTATGCATCTAATTTTCAGATTGCCATAATTGTTCCCAAATATCCTTTTTGGGGAAAATGGGTTTTATTTAAGATGATCTAGGAAGTAATCAAAAATCACTTATTGCATTTGGTTGTTGTATTCTTCCTTAATCTAGAATAACTCCTCCAACTTCTTTTTTTTCTTTCATAACGATATTTTTGAAGACGTGTTCCACAATCTGATCTTTCCTAGTAGTTTCCTCATGACCATGCAGGTGATGCTGTTTATATCCCATTGTATCACATTAGATTGCACACATTGGCCATTTGTTTTATCATTGGTGAGGCAAAGTGCTATCGTTTTATTAAGCTGATATCTGCCAGATCTCTGCATTGTAAATGTCCCTCTCCCCTTTGTAGTGAAAAACTAATTGGTGCTGTTGGTGATGTAGGAATGAATATCTTGTTCCCCAACAGACTTTCACCCAATGATCTTACTCTCCGTTGGTGAACCTTCCTGAATTAATTGTTACAGTGTTTGTACGTGATGATTTTCTAATTGAATTATTCCTTCTAGATTTATTTGGTAACATTCTTTTGTAAACAAGAGCTGTCCCCACTTTGCCTCTTTTAATTTTTTGAGTAACACTATGGATCAGATTCCTTTTTTACTAATCTTTTAAAGTCACTTGCCATCATTGTTCTTTGTGATGCTTAAAGTCGTAAATTTTGCCAGTGGGAGGGAGGCCCTTCATACTGGATCCTGTGTTCCTTTGATATGTCCCTGATATGGTTTGGCTGTGTCCCCACCTGAATCTCATCTTGAATTCCCATATGTTGTGGGAGGGACCTGGTTGGAGGTAATTGAATAATGGGGGCAAGTCTTTCCCGTGCTGTTCTCATGATAGCGAATAAGTCTCACAAGATCTGATGGTTTTATAAAGAGGAGTTCCCCTCCACAAGTTCTCTCTCTGCCTGCTGCCATCCATGTGAGATGTGACTTGCTCCTCTTTGCCTTCTGCCATGATTGTGAGGCTTCACTAGCCACATGGAACTGTAAGTCCATTAAATCCTTTTTCCTGTATAAATTACCCAGTCTCAGGTATGTCTCTATCAGCAGCATGAAAACACACTAATATAGTCCCCATTATTCTTTGAGATTTTTTTTTGCTTTGTCTACAACAAAATATTCTAGACTTATCTTTTGCTTTCTCTACCCCCAGATCTGGAATAAGCTATTTTTCCAATGATATTTGGTACCTTTTGGTAGGAAATGGTATTTAGAAACCAAGATCTGTAAGCTAAGAGTGCTCATTGCTATTGGGATGTCAATGGCTCCTTTAGTAGCTAGAGCTAAGAAATATTTAGTAGCTAGAGCTAAGAAATACACATATATGTGTGTGTGTGTGTGTGTGTGTATATATATGTGTATATATATTTAAATCACAAGTTCTTTTTTTTTTTTTTTTGAGATGGAGTCTCACTCTGTTGCCCAGGCTGGAGTGCAGTGATGTGATCTCGGCTCTCTGCAACCTTGGCCTCCTGGGTTCAAGCAATTCTCCTGCCTTAGCTTCCCAAGTAGCTGGGTCTACAGGCATATGCCAACATGTCCCGCTAATTTTTGTACTTTTAGTGGAGATGGGGTTTCACCATGTTGGCCAGGCTGATTTCAAACTCCTGACCTCAAGTGATCTGCCTGCCTAGGACTCCCAAAGTGCTGGGATTACAGTTGTGAGCCACTGCACCTGACCACAAGTTCTTCTTGGTATCTCCAATTCTAACACTAAAAGGTTTCTCCTCACCTTCTCCATTTTTGTATTTTCCTTCTCCCATATTGAGCATTCTGGTTCCTAACAACATCAATGTAATTACTCATTTGTTTTATCCTGGCAAATTAACAGAGTACTTTCAAAATTATTAAACCAATACTGCTATTAAAAACCTACTAAGTAAATTAAGGATTTATTTGCAGTTCATTTTGTCTCTAGAAAATATCATACATCAGAGAACTATGTCCAAATTTACTTGAATTAATTTGATTTTTAGATTTTTTTTCAATTTGATATGGACTTGTGACTGCTTTTTTTGCATTTGCATTCTGTGGTGTTTTTTATTTTTATTTTTTATTTTATTTTATTTTTTTGAGACAGTCTCACTCTGTCACCCAGGCTGGAGTGCAGTGATGTGATTTCAGCTCACTGTGACCTCTGCCTCCAAGGTTCAAGTAATTCTCCTGCTTCAGCCTCTCAAGTAGCTGGGACTACAGGCGTGTGCCACCACACCTGGCTAATTTTTGTATTTTTTTTAAAGTAGAGATGGGGTTTTGCCATGTTGACCAGGCTGGTCTCGGAACTCCTGACCTCAAATGATCTGTCTGCCTTGGCTTCCCAAAGTGCTAGGATTACAGGTGTGAGCCACTATGCCCTGCCTGCATTCTGTTTATATAAAATTTCCTTTTTTCCCCATACTTTTATTTTTTTATACTCTTCATCTTTTTACATTTTATTTTAAACATTAACATAGTTTCAAAAACTACTTCTCCTATGACCTGCTGGGTGTAGAGGGAAGCAAGTAATAATTAAAATATCTCTGTGGCATCATGTATAAGTTGAAAATTTGATAAAGTTTTTTCTAATACATAAATGAATTACTTAGCATAATAACCTTGAACATGTTCTGGGCTGAAAATATTTGGTTCAGAAATATGTTTCAAAATGTAAATAGAATTTTTGTGTCGGGTTTTAAGAAACTAGCCCATGATTCTCACGTAGTAACTGTATTATTTCCTTTAGTGGAGGATTAGAGTTTTTTTATTT